GAATAGAGTTTTAACAATGTAAGTGATTAGTGCATGCATTTGCCTTTGTGAATATACAAAGAAATGCTGAGTAGCTAAGGATCAAGGGCTAGCATCTTTTTCCCTGGGAGCACACCTGGGGCTGCTTCCTCCTGTTTCTTGCTCTCCCTTCTTTGCTACAGAATTTGAATGGAAGCCACAGGAAATGCTCTAGATAGGAGTCATCTCAGTTTCAATCAGAATCTAACTAGAAAGTCTAGTGTGTCTGAAGTTCATAAAGTGATTCTTAAATTTATATAGAAAATCAAAGGAGATGCACAATGGTCCGAACAATTTTTAAAAAGAATAAAGTTTGGAGCTAGCAATATTCTGATTTCAGTCCCGATCATAAAGTTACAATAATAATGTGAAGTATATTGACAAAGAGTAGGTGAAGTTTAGTGAAATAAAATAGTGTCAAGAAGCAGACCAGCACATATATCTGTAGCTGATTTCTGCTTTCAGGTTCTCTCCTACTGAACTGTAGCCCCAGCAGCTGATTTCTAACAGTTTTGAAGGTGGTTCAGTGGTGGGAAGGACAGTTTTACCACACGCTGCTGAAGAGTTAGCAGTGTTGAATTGACTAGTCTTTCCTGTGCCCTATTCTCCCCGATCACTCTTGTTTCCTAGCTGTCCTCTCTACCTTAGCTCTCTATACCGCACTCCCCTTTGCTCATACCTTCTTCTCTGTTAATATAGGATATATTTGCTATTTACCAGCATGTCTCAGAAGTTGGGTGACTACAGTATGTTAAATAATATTTCTTTTATGTGTACAGATAAAGGCAGTGTATATGCAGCTGGAGGAAATAATGAAGGACAGTTGGGGCTTGGTGACACTGATGACAGAGACACTTTTCATCAAATTGGCTTCTTTACACCTAAAGATAACATCAAACAGCTCTCTGCTGGTGCTAATACATCAGCTGCATTAACTGGTAAGACTTGTTTGTGCTTCTGTGTGGACATATCTTTTCTTTTAAGATATACAAACTCAGTAAATGTGTGATAGTATTAGCATTCTGTGGACCTTCAGAAGGCTTTAAAAATAGAACTTGGAATCTATATGTATATTTTGAGTGAGAGATAAATACCTGTGATTGATAAATAAGTTCTCAGCTCTGCTAGCTGTCTATTCTTTCAGCTATGCTTTTGTTTTTGTTTTGTTTTTTTGAGATTGGGTTTCACTGTGTTGTACAGCCCTGGCTGTCCTGAATCTCACTCTATAGACCAGGCTGGCCTGAAAATTATAGACACCCGCCTGCCCCTGCCTCCTAAGTGCTAGGCTTAAAAGCATGTGCTACCACCATTCCTGCTAGATATTCTTAAATGTTCTCTTAATTGAATATTCTGAATGGTACACTTGTGGCTTTAACTGAAGTCTTTATGGGAAGTATTGATAGAAATCAGTTGGGATGTATGTTGTTAGAGTGTGGGTTATAATGGTTACTATATAGTTACTATATATCTCTGTCTTCCTTCTCAAAAGTAGATATGAGAACTTGGAGCCATGATCCATGTGACCCCACTGAAGCCACTGGCTTACAGCTTTCATCCAAGCAGAGACAGACAAAACAAAATGTAGTGTTGTTTAACTAGATAGTTTGTTATTCAATGTCACTCCTTCAGTTTTTATTTTCAGTTTTAATTTTGGCTTATTATTAAACCACCTTGAAGATCAATTTCTTAATTTACTAAAAGAAGTTGATGGATATTGCTGCACTGTTAATCTCTTTGACTTCAAGGTCAGAGGCATGATGGGCATGAGTTCATGGCTAGCCTACACTACACAGTTAAGATGCTGTTTCAAAACATAGAAATAAACAGGTATTCATAATCCATGAAATACTTACTCTCTGTTTAGCTTAACTGTCCCCAACACTGAAACCTTATCAGAAAGGACATAGTGAATATGTTTCTAAGATGATGAATGCAAATATGTCTCATTCTCTGAAGCTAGGCAGGTTGTATTTTCAGGTATACAGTAATAAAAAAGATTAGTGAGACTCATTGTGTGTTTTGGTTTTTTTCTTATTCCTTTGAAGCATTTCCATGGTGTACCTTGAGCAAGTTTTTATTTGGGAACTTGCTCTTTTCATTCAGAGACATGTAGGTGTTTTCTATTGTCTCTCAATTCAGTGGCAGGCACACTGCCTGGAGGGAGGGAATGGTTTCTGTGTGGAGACCTTAAAAGGGTACAAAGTAACTGTAGGAAATGGCATCCTGTGTTTACTATTGAGATAAAAATAAGAGCGTAACTAAAGTAATTTGGCACACACACATTCTCTGCTCTTTGTCCTTATAGATCATATGACAATAGAAATCAAACTTGCAGGTCACAAGCTGGTGTAAATGGCTTTTGTGATTTCCCATTTTCAGTACTGAGTTAGAGTACATAAGGAGGAACATAATAATGTATTGTGTATTACTTTTTTCTCTTTTTTGCTTGTTTTGAGACAGCCTTACTTTGTAAACCAAGCTGGCCTGGTGTGTATTATGTAGCTTAGAGACTGGCTTTATTCACAGCAAGCCCCCCTGCCACTGCCCCCTGAGCTCTGGGATTAGAGACATGAGCTGCCACACCTGGCTGCATTGTTCATTTCAAAGTGGCTGGCAGAGGATTTTGAGTGTTTTCAACGCAAGGAAAAGATAGATGTTTAAAGTCCTGGATAAATCACTCTGAGTTGATCATTATATCGTATGTATGCATTTTGAAGTATCATGTTGTATTCCATAAATGCCTACAGTTATTATATATCAATAAAGAATAAAGACCGAAGAAGTATAAGCCAGAAGACAAATGATAGTCTATAGGAAATGTCATAGCTTGAGAGCCTAGCTCGCCTTTTGAAGACTTTTCTCCCCTTGTGCTTCCTTTACAGAGGATGGAAAACTCTTTATGTGGGGTGACAATTCTGAAGGGCAGATTGGTTTGAAAAATAAAAGCAATGTGTGCATCCCTCATGAAGTGACCGTTGGGAAGCCAATCTCATGGATCTCTTGTGGATATTACCATTCAGCTTTTGTAACAGGTAAGATTAACACATTGTTTCATTACATTGTCTCATTTCTCAATCATTACTTGAAATGATGAGTTACATTTACATGTTAGTAAAATGAGTTACAATTCACGGGTTGTTTAGTTTCTGAAATAATGTATGTTTTATGATGTAAAAAATGATCACTGAAAGCATAGTCTTTAATGTATGTTTTAATTCAAAACATTTCTCCATTTCTATATTGACAGTTTATAATTTCAAATTTTCTCTGACATGCCAACTTTTTAGAAAGTAAATACTGGGTCTGTTATAAAAATTAAATTGCTATTTTAGAAACCTTTCAAAATGTTAGTTCTCAAACTTCTTAGCCTTGTTTGACATTAAAAACAACTCATGAGCCACTTTCTCCTAGATTCACTTGCTTCTATACTTTGCCTGCAATATTCTTCCTGTCCTAGTAATTTTTCTATTGTTTCAAATAAGTGAGTTTTAGAGTATTCTTGGGAGAACCAGGGTCAAGATTAGATGCAGAAGGATGAGACCTTCATCCTTTGGTACAACTTTTCTCAGTATCTGCAGCCCATTAAGTCTTCTCTGCTTGGTAGTGCTGAAGTGTTGGAATTTATGTGTATGTTGACATCTACATTTACAGCTTTACTAGTAACAATGGAAGGCTCTTCATGGCTCTCCTTCTAACCAACTGTTTCTTAATAATCAGATGCCCAGATGAAATAGTGTAGTGGATACCACCAACTCATATGCACATACACGTATGCCATAAAGGTACAGAGAATATAAAAGGTAGTCTTTGCTGTATTTTCTGGAGAAGCTAAAATGATTTTTGATGGGGAATGTTATTCTGTGTATGTTTGTCTTATTGGTTGATGAATAAAGCACAGTTGATTCAATAGGGAAGCAAGATAGGTGGGACTAGGAGACAAGGAGGATTCTGGGAAGTGTACACAGAGAGGACCTGTCGTGGAATCCCAGGAAGTGACATAGTAGGGCAGAATCAGAATATAAGCAGGGACAAACAGGAAATCGTTCTCCTCTCTTCTCTTCTTTGCGGACACCCTGAGCATTCGACATGTAGGATGTCAGAGGAGTAACAGGCCCCTGGCCCTTTCTCTGGTAAGATAAAGCCATGAGGAAATACATAGATTAGTAGTTATGGGTTAAGAATAAGAAGCCCAAGTCGCCAGGCAACAGATTTATGACTAATGTAGCTTCTGCGTGTTTCTTTGGGACAGAGAAGGGCAGTGGGACCTAGGTGGGCCAGAGAAATCTCACGTTGCAGATTTTCTAGTTCTTTTTAGTCATGAATTCTTTGTGAATGGTACTAGATTAAAATATCTTCAAGGTGAAAGATATCTTAAGAAAGATCAGATTGACTTCATTACTGGCTGAGTTTTTATGAAACATGAGAACATGCACCAGAGGACCAGTATGCTGTTTATATTTATGTCCCCATTAATCTTTTTACTTTTCCTCTGACAGTGGATGGGGAACTGTACACATTTGGAGAACCCGAGAATGGGAAGTTGGGCCTTCCCAATCAGCTGCTGATCAATCACAGATCACCCCAGCGTGTGCTGGGGATTCCCGAGAAGGTGATTCAGGTAGCCTGTGGTGGAGGACACACTGTGGTTCTCACAGGTATGTGTAGAGTCTGCTCTGCTCCTCTCTGTATTCAGTAGTAGCTAGTGACACTCTCATGATCCTCTTTATTGTGACAAGAGAAAAATACTTGGTGCTCAGCAGTTAAGAGCACTCGTTCTTCTATCACGAGGACCTGAGTTTGGATTCCAGCACCTGACTTGGCCAGCTCACAGATTTCTAGGTAATTCCAGCTCCAAGGGACCCAACAACCTTTTCTGGCCTTGATGGGCACACACACACACGCATGCACGCATGCATGCACACACACACACACACACACACACACACACACACGCACAGACTAAAAATAAGTCTAAAAAATAGCATTTAACATGAGCTCTAACTTCTAAAGAGATTTTAAAGTTTATAATGTGCGATTGTTACATATACATGTGATGCTATATCTTTCTTACATAACTGAGTTATGTGTCTACTCTATAGTGCATCCTATTTCTCCATCCCTTCGCTCCTGGAAACCACCAGTCTCTGAGTTTGACTCCTGTAGATCCCTTAGGGAAGCAGGCTTTGCATCTCTTTAGATTATGATCCCTGCCTTTTATTTATATAGTTAAGACATGTTTCTGGTTATGGGAAGACTGTTTTAAGTAGGAAAAATTGAATCTTAATCATTCTGCTAATGTAATCGACATTTCCCCAGCCATCAGATGCTTAGTGCCAGCAAACTATATTCATATTTATATATCATTCATCTAAAAATTAATATTTTCCCTAAAGTACTTCCATTTGAAGAAGCTGTCTTCCTGATATTTTCTGATTTTGATGTTTTATACTTATAATGTGTAAACTTAAGGATTTCTGTGATTTTTATAATCTGTTATAGTAATTCATTATAAGGTGGTAAAGTTTTAGATTACAGGTAAAAAATAAATTCAAAATAATGTCCTTGGCTTGTGAATTTCCTATTTGGTGTAATATGCCATGTTGTTTTTAGTTTTCTAATCAGTATGTTGAAATATGCTCATTATTTTGTAATATGAAAACCAAATAGAGGTCTCTAAATTTGCACAACATCAGATTTAATTTAAATGAATAGTATAGTACTAATATATTTAGATAATACTTTTTATTATGTGTTTTTAGTAAAAAAAAAAACTAGTAAGGGCTGGGGAGATGGCTCAGCAGTTAAGCCACTAGCTGATCTTACAGAGGATCTGGGTACAGTTCCCAGTACCCACATTGGGTTTCTCATAACTAACTGCCTGTAGCTCTGGTTCAGGGGATCCATTGCACTCTTCTGGCCTCTGCAGACAGTTGCATGCATTTGATGTACCTGCATTCACTCAAGCACACACACATACAGTTATAAAAATAAAAATGAATAAGTCCATCCACTGTAGCAACTCACAATTAGAAATGCTCCAGAGAATTTTAGTAGCTATTTCCTGTCTGTCTGTCTGTGTCAGGATAGACTGAATGGGGGAATTCAGAAGAAAATGTTGTGATAAAGGAAAAACAGAGAAAATTAGCACACTTAGAACAGGCAATATGTTATATGATCTACTAATTAAGAGATGATATGCAAATAACAAAATTATTATATTATATTCAAATATTAAATATTCAAATAAGAATCTCTTTCCATTGCCTCAATATGCCTTCATATCCTTGTTAAAGGCATAGTTTCCTTAAGGAATTTTATCTCTACCTTATTTATATTTCAGGCATGTATATACTCTGTGTGAGGGTGTTGGGTCCCCTGGAACTGGAGTTAGAGACAGTTGTAACCTGCCATGTGGGTGCTGGGAATTGAACCCAGGTCCTCTTGAAGAGCAGCTAGTACTCTTAACCACTGAGCCACCTCTCCAGCCCTCAAGCATTCTTATTAGAGAGAAAAATGTAAAATATGTGACAGTAGTTAGGTGTTCATCAGTACCCCTCGTTCTCAGATGAGCTAAGTAGGTATTTTTCAGAAAAAAGAATTCTTTACAACTGAATGTTTTGACATTTGCTTGGATGGAATTTGTATAGGATGTATTAGCTAGGGTTTTAACATCAGGTGATGTAGAAACCTGCCCACTGGCTGCAGTTAGGGATAAGAAGATTTATTTCTGCCTTTAGTGAGTGGTTGCTGCCCTCCTTCCTATGAGACTCCACTGAAGACAGTAACTTGACCAGCATGTCTCTCAGTACCCTGACCAGCCAGATTGTTCCCACAGAACTCTTCTGTCATCAATCATATACCTTGCTTTGTGCTTCCCAGCTTCCCATCACTACATGATAAATGAGCTGAGATTTACTGAATTATTGGTGGACCTCTGGAGTCACCTAAAAACCATCAATATAGAGGGAGGCCTCCTGAATTGTAAAGACAGTTTGTTTATGAATACATCTAGCACATCTACTATAATTTCTAATTCTTTTGCAAATTATTTTCTGAAGAGTGTGTGTGTGTGTGTGTGTGTGTGTGTGTGTGCCTGCCATGTTCTACAGGGAGAATCTGTGGCCTTGTACATGTTAGGCAAGTGCTTTACCCCCAGCTCATGAAATGTGTTTCGTAAAATAGTTTTATTAAACTACTTTTAAAAGGGCTATCTTCGTAGGATTGTTTTAATTCTGGCAGTGAAAGGAAATAGTTTAATAACATTTGAGATATTCTGAGCTGATGCAGTAATTATAAACACATGCCAGGATGTTCTCTGAATTATACATCTTGTAACCCACCTGACTATTCCAATAATTACTTTTATGGTTATTCATAAAAGACAAAGTCAGACCCAGAGAGTTATTGTTTAACACTTCAGTTTTCTCTCCATTCATCTTTGAAAATTGGCATTTCATGGCAGTATTTTTCTGGGTAGCTCTTTCATAGGCAACTAATGTCCCTTACAAAAGTTTGAATGTCACAGTTATTTCAGATATGATGTACCTCCATTCAGCTCTTTCATTTTTGTGTCCATTCCCTTTCAGATAAAGTCGTGTATGCCTTTGGGCTGGGACAGTTTGGCCAGCTGGGCCTTGGCACTTTTCTTTTTGAAACATCAGAGCCCAAAGTCATTGAGCGTATTAAGGATCAGAAAATAAGTTATATTTCCTGTGGAGAAAATCATACAGCTTTGATGACAGGTATGAGATCATTTCTCCAATTTCTGTTTATAGAATTGGATATAGCTCATTATAAAGTGAATGTCTAATCCAGATGAAAGCAAATGTGCGGACAGGGTGGAGCTCAGTGGTAACACATGTTCTTAGTTTCATGAGGCCTCGAGATCAGTCCCTAGAACACACACAAAAAAAATGACCCACCTTCCAGAATCCTAAAGTAGACCTTTGGTGAAGAGTAAGACAGTAAAATCCTTTTGAAATTGTATCAGTTGGAAGGCTCTTAACTCTTCTCAAAACTCTCCTCAAGCCAGAGAGAAAAATCACACCTACTCAGTGTAGAAGAGTGACATTTTTAAGATGCTTTGACCACCAGGGGGCGTTTCACGACTCACTCCTTCCCTTTGCAAAGCAGTAGAGAAAAGGGTGCTGCGATGACCACCAGAGGGCGATTCAGGTTGATTCTTTCCTTCCCTTTGGAGAAGGGCACTGCAAAACCCACTGAGCAAATACATCTCTCTTTGTTCTCTTCTGCATTACCCAAGGAGATGTTCTGTTGGCCTGCTTACTTCTCAGTCTCATAAATTAGATACTGTTAATACGTGGGACTCAATAAAATTCTCCTTAGGAATGACTTAGCCACTCACTGTAGGGAATTTATGTATTTAAAAATGTAAATGCTTTGTAACAAAAGAACCTATAATTCCTTCTAAAAACAAAGTAAAACATGAAAAAAATCAGAAGTAATTCTAGCATATTTGAATAACACATGCTGTCATATTTCTGTTTTCCTTCCTTTAGAGAAAGTAGGAATTAGACAACACAAGCTACTACCACAAATAGTTCCCTCTTTCCCATAGAACCCTTCAAGAAAAATAACCTGCCCATCATCAAGTATTGATGTTCTCCTTTGCATAGTATGTAACAGCACTATGTAGAATCAAAAAAGAAAACCAAAAATGTATTATTCCTTCCTTGTCACATAGGAGCTGTTGCTATATGTCCCTTACTGTGGTGCCCCAATAATAGCTTTTCTGTCTGTAGTACCATTTTTCATCAACCCTAAATTGTCACTGATGATAAATATACTCTCTATGTATCATTTGTCTTACTATAGATGGTTCAGTTAATTTTGCATAGTAATTTTTCTTGATGAAAAAAGTTATGGCACTAATAACTGAATATTAAGTTTGTTTGACTTTTTTCTCCTCCCCAGGGAACAAGTGTTAGATATTTTTCTCTCTCTAGTACATCTAGTACAATTGTACCTATTGAGTTTTCTTAAATTTTTGCCAGTTCCCTATCCATAGCTCATATTTGTACATGTTCTTTGAGCTTGGAAGTACAATCAAGAAAATGAGATGAGGGTTTACTTTTTCAGGCAAAAGAAAGTCATTTTGGAAAAGCACACATTAAAGAAATTTGCTTACTTTTGTAAATTACAATAGTAACTTACCGCCTTGCTGAATTCTAGTCTATTACTTCAAGTCAGTCTTCAGTAAAGTATTGGAGATTCTCTTAGTGTATAACCACTTTATGTTGGAAATTCCCAGATATGAGCTAATCATTTCCCAGATTGAAGCCATTCACTTAAAGAGGTTGCTACTCTTCAAATACAATAAAATAAAATACACAATCTAAGCTAATGTCACCCTCCATAGGTTGTGCCTCAGTGCTTTAGACTCCGAACTCTCAGTTCTCCTTATCCGGCTTGCTGATTACCTTCCAGCCTCTTGCCCGACCTGTTATTATGCAAGCTTTCCCTTATACTGCTGAGTCTGCCATATTTCCTTCGTATAGCTAAATTCTATCTTTTAGGATTCACTTTGAAAGGAATACCTTGCCTAGAGGGAAATTCCCCTCCCCTGTGTCCTGATTGGCCTTAGCTTCTGTGGCACTTACTGCATACCCTTTAAATCCAGGGTATAAAGGAGAGGCTTGCAAAGAAATACAAAAGTTAAATGCAACTGCTGTGTCAATGTGTGATGGTATTAGAGAGAAGTGGCATGATTGCTCATCACTGTGTGCTGATCAAGACAACCAACACCCGGATATCGATATGGGGATTGGTTAGAATGCTTGGTTGACTCTTGGCATTGCCTAGGCAGTGTCCCATAGCCTAGGAGCCAAATTAATAAAAGAGACAGCTGCATTCCACATGCTGTAGCTCTCCACCAATGACAGATTTGCACCCTGGGAGAGAAGGATGATATCAGGAGACATTTTTTATTTTCATTGCTTCAGAAAGGGGTTATTCTATTGGCATGTAGTGGACAGACGCCAGTGATGGTACTAAACAGACTACAATGCGTAGGACAGACACACAAGTCTTTGGCCAACAAGACTTAGTGATCCATTCTCAGTTCCATTGCCTACTGTTATATGAAGAACTACAAACACTATATTTTGCACAGGCCAGTAGAACACAGTGAATTTAAGTCAGCATTCTATGAAAATATAATAATTGCAGTAGAAGTTAAGGTATTTGTCTATAACTAGATCTGTACAAATGAAACTTGAGTAACTTCAATTTTGTTTGCATTTTAGATATAGGCCTCATGTATACTTTTGGAGATGGCCGACATGGAAAATTAGGACTTGGAATGGAGAATTTTACCAATCAGTTCTTTCCTACATTGTGCTCTAATTTTTTGAGATTTACAGTTCAATTGGTAAGGGTTTCATATTCCCTCTTGCATATTTTCATATTTCTAGATTGGAAACTTTTGTTATTTTCATAAAAATACACATTTTATGTTTGTATGAGCATTTCATAGATACCACTAATAATAACTATAAGCAGTTTTATAAGATCCAAATGGTACACATCATACTACTCTGAAAATTTCCTTTTCCTATTTTGCTCCCTCAACAACATTTTTTTTTTTGGTTTTTCAAGACAGGGTTTCTCTGTGTAGCTTTGGAGCCCATCCTGGCACTTGCTCTGGAGACCAGACTGACCTCGAACTCACAGAGATCCACCTGCCTCTGCTTCCCGAGTGCTGGGATTAAAGGTGTGCGCCACCACCACCTGGCTCTCAACAACATTTTTGTACAAATATTGACTTTTCTGCCTTGTGTTCACTTCTCTTGAAAATTGGGACTGTGCCATGCCTGGAAGCTTTGTGTCTCGTGTAGCTTGTGCCCAGTAGAAAGCCTTGCTCACAAGACTAACAGGGCAAATGCAATCTGACTGGGGAAGGTTGGACACTCTCAAAGCCTGCACAAGAAGAGACGTGATAATCACTAAACAGTGTTGCAAATGATTTACTGGCTGAACACTCAGAAAAGAACTTACCCTTGCAGTGCCTCGTCATCATCATGCTTCCTGTTTTATTGTCTCTAGTCTTTTTTTCTAGCTAAGAGCTGGAGACATGCAAGTGCTGCTCACTTGCTGGTGCTTGTATTGCTTTTCAAAGACATTTCGTCTCATACTACGGAATACTTCTCTTTGTAATTTGATAACAGTTTGAGTTGCCAACTAGACACAATCCAGAATCACCTGGGGAGGGGGCCCTAATCAGGGCTTGTCTAGATTAAGTTGGCCTGTGGGTATGCCTGTGGGAATTTTCTTAATTAGGTTCAGTGAAGTCTGAAAACCCGTCCTGAACGCCGACAGCAGCATTTCACAGGCTGCAACTTGAACTTTGTGAAAAGGAGAAAGCAAGCTGAGCACTAACTAGCTTGCATGCGTTGCTTTCTGTTCCTGCCTGTGGATCTGATGGCATTAGTCCCTCGAGCTCTGCCGCTGGGACTCTCTTGTTATGATGGGCTTCACCCTGCACCTGAGAGCAGAACCAAACTCCTAAGTTGCTTTTATCAAAGAGAGAGGAAGAGAAGCTAAGATAATAACCATTTAATGAAAACTTACTATGTACAACATCTGTGTATTAGGAATACAAATTATTCAGTGATGGACAAGATACCAACTGCTTACTTGGTGTTCTTTATGGAGAGGATACGTTTACAGAGGAATATACAAAAAGCTAGATGAAATTTTAATAAAAGCCAGGTGCAGACTGTGTACTCTTCTAATATCACCAGGAACAGCACTGCAAAGGGCTAGAATCGGAGTCTGAAAAATAGTATAGGCTCTTTCTCCAATGGCTTTTATTGACAACTTAAGACCATTTGTATTCGGGGTTATTATTGAGATAGATTTGCTAACTTCTATAGTTAAAATATAATTTTATCCCTTCCCCTCCATCCTTTCCATGTTCCTTCTCTCCCAAATTTGCATCCTCTCCTTTATCCATTTTTACATATACATGTAAACAAATAAGTATATCCTTATAAGCTCCTGAGTTGCTCATTGTTGCCTACATAGACATATTTTAGGACTGGCCACTGGCATTGGATAAGCAGTGAGAGAGCTCATTTCTGGAGAAGACTAATTCTCTCTCTCACTGCAGTCATTGGTATAGGGTTTTTGTTAAAATTTTTGTGAAAAGCAGTTACTACTTAAAACTCCTTGGCAGGCTTATTTTTCACTTTTTTTCAGTGTGCTTTTATTTTCCTCTAAAGACTTGTAATCCTTTAATTTAGAAAGTGTTCTTTGAAAGGCTTGGAGGCATAATCTCTTTTATTTTTGAGAATTTTGATCTTCCTACCTCAAAGTGAATTTTGTGTGTGTGTGTGTGTGTGTGTGTGTGTGTGTGTGTGTGTGTGTGTGTGTGTGTGTACATATGTAAGATTGCTCATATCCTTTTTCCTCTCCATCTCAATGCCTTCTTTTCAACTAGCACATCTCTTGTTCTCATGCCGTTTTTTTGTTCATTTAATTTACGATTGCATGCATGATAAGGGGAATATGTATATGTGCATATATATATATATATGACATATATACACATAATATATGGGGAGTGATAGAACAGAGAAAAGCCATGAGCCAGACAATCTCAGTTTAACTCTAAGTTAATGTCTTGTTGCTGATATGACAACTGTTAGCCCATTTGTGTTTGATGTTAACATTAATTTTTCTGTGGATTTATGCTTGCAGATTGCCTGTGGTGGATGTCACATGCTGGTTTTTGCCACCCCACGACTTAGTGCAATAGAGGAATCTGAAATTGAAGAAGTCTTTGAGCCTTACCTAAGTGCGGGTTCTATGCCCATCAGTGAAATTTCCCCAGGAACTCCAATGAACAGATCTTTATCAGCACGTCTGCGGCGAAGAGAGCGGGTACATTTGTCTGTATAATAGTACTATTTACCACTGCAAAGAAAACAGGAACAACTCTGTTTTCTTTTAAGTCAAGGGAGGGTCTTTCAAGATGAAAATGGTCAGAGGTAAAGGCTTTTACATTTTTTGAAGTAAGTTCAGAGTTGATATTAAAGAATACAAATTGGAAAATTCAAATTACCTTGAATAACCCTTTTTGTTTATAATCATCCACCACACAGCACATTTGTATAGATCTTCCTACCTCAAAGTGAGTGGTCCGTTGATCTTTTCTTAAGCTGTATGTGGACTGACTATTGTTAAATGCTTTTTTAAATACTGTGGTAAGAACGTTTCTATCCATGTAACACAGCTTTAAGGATGTACAAACAGTGTTAGTGTAAGAGATTTACAGCAGATATGGAGCATTCAGTCATTAGAATTATGCAGCCTTCTGTTAGTTAAGGTTCCTAAGCAGTAGAAGATTACAGACTATAAACAATGAAACGTGGGAAGCAGAGAAATCGGTCCTTCACTTAGAGACAGAATCTTTTCTACCATATACATTTAGAGACTGTCTTTCTATGCTTCAACATTGCTATATAAGTTACATGTCTTTAAAGGGAAAATATTTAAATACTGAAAAGCTTTGAAATTATTTTAAGTTCTAAAATGTTTTCCTTTTGAAGTAAAAGTATTATGTTTGTATCCTATTATGAAAAAGTATATATGAAATACTGAAGACTGTCCCATCAGCCTGTCTTATGAGCAACTTTTTGTTTCTCAGAGTAGATGATGAAACACAAACACAAATACACTCCCTAACACATGACAAATAGACTTTGATAGTGACAGTTTAGGGAACCCAAGGTATAAAGACAAAAAACCAGAAGGCTTTTGAGTCCTTGGGAATACCTATGTTCAAGTTGTGGGGCATTGGCAGACTTTAGGGCTTTTCTCTTAAATATTTTCAGTTACTATAGGAAAATGTGTGCAGATATTATATGTAACATCATTTGACAATTTGTTTAACCTTCTTTTAAAGGAGAGACCCCCATGTTCTGCTTCAATGGTGGGAACACTGCCTCCATTAGAGGGGACTTCTTCTTCCACTTCAGCTAATTATTTTTCCCCCAGTTCAATTCCTTTCCGTTTGTCTATGGATAACTACCCAGAGAAAAGCCCCTCTGAGTCTGTGGAGCCACTGGACTCAGGTAATGTTGGCCTGCTTTCAAAGGAAATGGGATGTGCACTCCTGTCATTTTCATGCTTATCTCAAGATGTTTTCTCCTGGGCTGGGGACCTAGGTCAGTGGTGTAATTATAGTTCTTGCTTGATTTGGGTAAGGCCCTGAGATTCATTCCCAGAACTGGAAATAAATGAAACACCTGTTTTTTTCCAGTTTGTTATATTATCCTCCTCCTAGTTAGAGTGTGGCATTTCTAATTGGAGCTGAAATCTATATACACCATACAACATACTCCATAGCAGCAACTCTATGGAGCAATGGTTAATACACATAGAATCATTCTGGGCCAGCAAATTCCATGACTTAGGTGGGAATATAGTCTTTATTTCATGGCTAAGAAAAGCAAGGCTCAAAGAGATGAAGTGCCTTGCCTACAGTCATTCAGCCGATGAATATAGCAGACAGGGGATACCTGGAAGTTCTGTACTGCCGCTGTAATCACCATAGTGCATATGTGCTTCAGCATGGAGTTATGCAGCTCAATTCATCTAAATTGTATGCTACGTCTGGTACTTCTGAACTATGGGACCATCTTAATTTCTCAAAGCCTTGGTTTCTTTATCTTTGAAATGGGTTTGCTAATACTCAAAGTTCTGTCAAGATCACACAGAAGATAAAGGCCCTTGCTATGTATGACTGACAACCTGAGTTTCATCTCTGGAACCCACATAAAGGTTGAAAGAGATCTGGCTGACTGCATAAAGTTGTCTCACATGGCACATATGTACACAAACACCATAGAAAAGTTTTAAAATGTGTTAATTATGGGAGTAGGTGTGAGGATTAAATGAGATCTAGCATGTAAAATGCCTGGTAATGCATTCAGTACCTCTCTAAACCCCTTTCTAGATATACCTAAGATCATTAATGCCTCTACCTCATTACATATTAGCTATAGATTTCATAGTTTAAATTACAGCCCCAACTCGATTACTGTTTGTTTGTTTGTTTGTTTGTTTGTTTGTTTGTTTTCGAGACAGGGTTTCTCAGTAGCTTTGGAGCCTATCCTGGCACTCGCTCTAGAGACCAGGCTGGCCTCGAACTTACAGAGATCCGCCTGCCTCTGCCTCCCAAAGGCTGGGATTAATGGCGTGCGCCACCAACTCCTGGCTCGTTTACTGTTATACAATGATTATACTCTGTTTTTTTCTTCAGAACATATGAATATTTCACCTTTAACTATTCTGTACCTCTTCTACATAATTTTATTAGTGTATCTTAGGAGAATCTATCCATTACTACAAATGTATATTTGAGTATAGCCTCATGAGCAAGAGATCAGAGAAACAATAGTTTGGGGATTAAAATCTGAAACAGAAGCAGGTGAAGTGGCTCAGACGGTAAATGCATTTGCTGTGAAAGCCCTGGTGACTGGAGTTAATTCCTGGTTTTCACATAAAGGTGCAAAGAGTAAATTGACTCCACAAACTTGTCTTCTGACCCTCACACACATCATATCATGCAGGCACCCATATACACATAACACCCACACCACCACCCCCCCACACACACACACACACACACACCCACAACCACACACACACACACACACACACACACACACACACACACACACCAATAATACTGAAAATGAAACCTAAGAGTCGAGGATAAAGCATGGCAAAGATGACTGTATCTTTGAGGAACCTAGGAAAATGACTGAATTTATAAAATTAATAAAGGGCTGGGGACACAGAGCAGACATGGAATAGTCACTATAAGCAGGACATCAATAATGAGCTAGTTACATGCACGTCTCATGGGGTTCACTTTGAATATAAGCATCAAGGTCAGATGGTGCTTTTTAACCTGAAACATAAAAGGATGTGAAGTCCGGAGGGAACATGGGAAGAATTAGAGGGAGATGTGTGGAATACAGATGATCATATTTCATTGTATACATGTTTGAAATTCTTAAAAATAAAAATTTCAAAAACATATTGGAAGTAATAGCAGATTTTGCTGAGCAGTGTGCTCAGAGAAAAATGAGTTTATAATATAGGAAAATTATTTCACACTTCAGGAGTTTGCAGCATGGAGTGTTATATAATTTTATAACTTTGTGGTTAGAATAAATAATAGATGTAAAGTTTAAGTTAAACTTTTTGTGACTAAATTTAATGAAAAAGTAAAGTTTTTAAGAGTCAGCCACACAAAGAGACAGAACATACGCATTCCAGACAGAAAATATTAAAGACAAAGATTTTGAAGCAGTGCCTAAGAAAAGGAAGCCAGTATGATTAGAGGATGGGGGAAATTCAGGTAAGTATGTTGTCGGAGAAAGAAACAGTAAGAAAAATATTCATTTCATGGTTAGAAGAGACCTATTTGGATTGAATATTTTTCTTCAGTCTAATATTTTTACCTGATGTGTTCCAGTCCAATTGACCTTTTAAGATAGTTACCCCTGTGTTATTGTGGATTGTAGGGAAGTCAGACTGCAAGTGGGAAGAACACTTGTCATTTAGAAGGTAAAGGAGGAAGGACCAATGTTAGTAACAATGGACTCAGGAAATTGGTATCTGAGAGAGTTGTGTTTTCAATGCAAAGTACTGGTCAGAGCTCAAACAAAAGTGCTCACACAGTTCCCAGTGCATTTGACATCAAGGAGAGTTCCAGCAGCCTCAACCTGAGAAGCTCTAGGGAAAAATCTGGACAGAAGCCAGAGTGTTAAAAGTTGGGGCATGAAAAGAGAATGAGGAAGTAAAGAGGAACTATGCTCTGTACATCATTATTTTGCCTGTGTGGTTATGAGGCAACCCAAAGAACTCAGATAACTGCTGGAGGGAACTGTGAGGCCAATTTAGGACACAATGGGATACCACACATAAGCCAGTAGTCCAGGAGAGCATGGTAGCACTTGAGAGGCTGGCACACTGACCAGTCTTTGATAGAAGGGAAGATAAACTACACTTTATAGAAAAATGAAAAGTTGAGCACAAATATATAGAGAGATATGGCATGGATGGATGGATAGATAAATAAATGGATAGACAGACAGACAGACAGACAGACAGACAGACAGACAGACAGCTAAGAACCGAAAGTAGATCAGGTCTGGTGACTTACATTTTCTCAATCAAACCTGAGACAATGTCTTATCAGTTTATATAAACTGGTATCTTTTCCAAACCTACATTCTATGGTTCTCCCATCTATCCTTTTGTGACAGTTTCCACATTAATCTTTTTTTAAAGTATAGTACAATGCCTATTTGTTCTTCGTCCTCTGAAAATTTCCTGATTTTTATAAAAATATGTATAAAATTTTCCATATAAGTCCCACCTACTCTTCTAGCTTCATCTTGCAATAATATTTCCTTATAATATCATCTAGGTTAGGAGATAACAAGCTATGGTCCATGGGCCAAATCTACCTAGTGTCCTATTTTTGTAAGTGGAAACTTATAGAAAACCATCCATCCCAGTTCCTTTATATATTATTGTGAGTGGCTGCTTTCATGCTAAAATGTCAGAGGTTGAGGGCTGGAGAGAAAGGCCAGCAGTTAAGAATACTTGCTCTTGCAGCGGACCTGAGTTGAAGTCTCAGCATCCATGTTGGACAGCTCACAACCACTCCAGCTTTGGGGGATCAGACATCCTTTTCTAGCCTCTGCTACACAAATAATAATAAAATCTTTGTTGAAAGTTTAGATGTTAAAGACTTATGTAATACCTGTACTTATGTAATATCTGAAACTTTCAAAACACAGCCTCAGATGTTAAGTTATAGTCTTGGTATTGATCAAACCAAGCAATCCAGTTTGACCCACTGAAGAGAGCATGGCCTGCAGAGTCAGATAGAACTGAGATGAGAATTAGGCACCAGAAGAGCCAGTGAAGCTTACTTCTCTCTCATTGTCATGGGGTTAACCTAATATAGGTTAAAATATATGCTTCTGACACACAGCAAATCTTCAACATAAACTACTTCCTTGTATCTCTCTACTTCTTTGTTCTATTAGTATTGGGCTTCACTTTCTTCCCTTTCCACCTATACCTCCACCTATATCTCACAATTCTATGCATCCTTTCATGTGGCATGCAAGTGAAATCTTTCCTGATTCCCAATGTCCATATTAAGGATTAACAGTTACATTACCATTTCTTAATGAACACACACACACACATACACACACACACACACACACACACACACACACCATCTGCCTCATGCCTTAAATATAGATAATTGAAACGCAATTAAATTTTCTTTGCATATTATCTCATGAAAAGAATGTAAATTAAACAATGTACATTTATTTATATTTAATTACAATCAATTGAAAGGATTTTTAAAAAAGAGCAATGAGTTTATACTGACATTTTTAATGGAGATTTCAAATCAGGGACCACCCCATAGATGTTCAGGTGACCAGAAAGGGCATAATGACAAATGGACAAAAGTATAAGTTCAATAGAGCAAATTGGTTTGAAATTTTCTCCTTTGTGATATTACCATTTTTTGAGTTCTAAGTGCTTATATTAATTTTTCATTGCTACATTTAAAAATGACCAAAATTTAGCAGGTCAAAATCATAGATATTTATTATTTGATTCATCTTCTAAGAGTCAAAATTTCAGGAGCAGCTTGGATGAGCATTTTATGCTCAGGCTCTTTCATGGACTTGCACTGTTAAATGGGATGGTAGCATCTGGAAGCTTGACTTCTAGCTCATTCATCTTACCGTTATCAGGGCACTTCACATCCTTGACATAGGTTTCTCCATAGAAATGTTCACAATATGGCTTCTCTTAGAGCAATGAGTCCAAAGCGAGAAATAAGGCACACATGTGTGACTAAGAAGCTATAGTCATGGCACAGTTATGTCCACTTTATTTGATTCATCATACACATTGAACTCAACCGCATATCATATGCATGGGGAGCTACCAGAATAGTGTGCATCACTGGGACTGTCCTAAGGCAGTACTTGATATACACAGCTCAGCTGAAAAGTACTTATTCCAAAGGAATAGTGTTTGCATGCCCTTGTAGATAAAGTTGTTGCTACATAATTGGCAACAGAGTAGTTAAACTTTCCATATGAGATTTGAAAATGTGCTGCTCCTGTGAATGACTGCCATTCATCTCCAACCACAATTAAAGAGCCTTGGATGCAGTTATAGCCCAGGATGTACTGAAGAGCAAGTTTTTGTTCACGTGCTTTTCTCATTTCTGTTAGATCTGAGCCTGACTTTTTGCTTTTATTCATTCAGATTATTTTGAAGATAAAATGAACAAAGAGACAGAGACAGAAAATTCTTCAGCAGTGGATTCAGAAAACCTTGGTGAAACTACTGATATCTTAAATATGGTAATTATTTCCTGACTATTTAGATATGAGTTATGTGAATTTTAGTTTCTCATAAACTTGTGTGTATATACCTTTTTATATTCCTTTATGTGTTAAAAGCTTGTTTTTGTTAATATTTAATAGTGCATACTAACCGGGCGTTGGTGGCACACGCCTTTAATCCCAGCACTCGGGAGGCAGAGGCAGGCGGATCTCTGTGAGTTCGAGGCCAGCCTTGTCTCCAGAGGGAGTGCCAGGATAGGCTCCAAAGCTGCACAGAGAAACCCAGTCTTGAAAAACCAAAAAAAAAAAAATAGTGCATACTAATATTAGTGGGTTTCACTGTAACATTTCCTTACCTTCATAAGCCAAGCTTTGACATGTGTATTCTCCCTTTGACCCTCTCTTACCCTACACTTACTCCCCTCTGCCAGCCCCCTCCCTTTTCCGTAACAGTCCACCTTCTGCTTTCAGGTTGTCTTTCCTTTTAGTTTCTGTTTGTGAGAGAAAACATGTAATATTTGTCTGTTAGATTTATAACGTCTGTCCTACAGTTACATCCATTTTCTGAAAATGACATGAGGTAATTATTCTTTATGGCTGAACCTTATAAGCACTCTGTGGTGTGTGTGTGAGAGAGAGGGAGTATTTTTCTTTATCCATCCATCTGTTGACAGAGTCTGTAACTTAGCTAAAGACTTCCTGCACTAAACATGGGTATACAGGTATTTCTTTGGTATTCTCACTTCATTTCTTTCAAATATAAACCTCAGACTAGTAGAATTAGATTACTTTAATGATTAGTAATACTTAATTATTAGTAATTTAATAATAGTTTAGTTCTTTTTAAATAATAAATAGTTCTATTTTTAGGTTTTTGAGGAACCTTCATACTGTTTTCCATCATGACGATACTACTTTCCATTCATATTAAGGTTTTGTGTTGCGTTTTCTCCACATTATCCCATTTTTATCTCTTTTTTTTTATTTGGATCTGTTTTCTCTTTGGTTAGTTTAGTTAAGGTGTTGTGCATTTTATTTATGCTTCAATCGTGTAGCTCTGTTTCATAGATCTTTTCTGCTGGTGGTTTAGTCTCCATTTAATTCACTTCTGATCTGATCTTTATTGTGTATTATTTCTTTCCTTCTACTGGTTGGATTGTGCCCTTCTTATTTTTCTAAGGCCTTGAGATACATTGTTAATTTTTGTGATCTCTTTGGCTATTTTGTTTGATTGTCTTCCTTCAGCACTCACTGCTATAAACATTCCTTTTGTACAGATATCTCTGTAGCCTACTGAAAACTATTCCACCTCCAAGTATTTGTGTAATGGGTATAATTTTTCTTTCTACTGATTTCTGTTATTTTCTTTTTATTCTGTGTGGTCTGATAAGATGTAAGAAATTAAAATGTTTTTGAATTGTATAAAATTTCCTTTATGGCCTATTTTGGAAAAAGTTGAATATGCTGATGCCAAGAAATGTACATTCTACATCTGTTGAAATATATGTAACATTAATGTGTTGAGTATTTGCTTGGGTAAGAGTAGAGTACAGAAGTCACCACTAGTATTGTGTTGGAGCATATCTTTCCCTTTATCTATAGTTGTATACTTTTCATAAAATTGGGTCCTTTGGCATTTTATATATATATATATATATATATATATATATATTATATATATATATGTGTGTGTGTGTGTGTGTGTGTTTGTGTGTTTGTATGGTTAACATATATACACATATGTATGTATTTAATGTCTTATTCATAAATTGTTCCCTTGATCAATATGTAGTAACAGTCTTGGTTTCTAATTTTTGACATTCAAAACATTTTGTTAGGTAGTGAGTAGTGTAGCTATTCCTGCTTATGTTCAGATTGTATTTACTTTGAAATAAATTTGCATATCTTTCAGTTCTCTGTATGTTTTCTTGATGCATTTTTTGCATAAAGCATATTGCTGTTTATTTTAAAGTACAGTCACCCAATTGGTGTCTTTTAATTGGTAAATTAGCACCATTTATATTAAAGTTATTATTGAAAGGTATGTATATGTTACTGACTTACTTCTTTCCAAAAAAATTATTTCTTCTTGACTTAGAATGTCTTCCTCCCATCCTAGAAGTTGTGGTTAACTATTTCTCATATGTATGCCTAGTCTTACAACAAGATGTATTCTTTTCAGTGCTCTCATGATGGTGCTTGCTCTCCTTTCCCTTCTAGGTGGAGGATTGCTTTATTGTCTTCTATGATGCTGGTCTATTAGTCATGATTTCCATTGGTGCATACTTATCTTGGAAGGTCTTTGTTTCTCCTTTGATTTTGAAGGATAACCTTGCTATGTGTCTTAGAATTACTATTGCTGTGATGAAACACCGTGACCAAAAGCAGCTTTGGGAAGAAAGGGTTTATTTCACATTTTACTCACAGTTCCATATAAAAGTTTATCATCAAAAGCAAGAGGACAGGAACTGAAGTAGGGCAGGAACCTGGAGGCAGAAAATGATGCAAAGGCCATGGCTTGCCCAGCCTGCTTTCTTATAGAATCCAGGATTAACACCCCAGGGGTGGCCCCACCCACAATGGACTGGGCCCTCCTCCATAATCATAAATGAAAATGCCTACAGGCTTGCTTAAAGCTGGATTTTCTGGAGGCATTTTCTCAATTGAGTTTCCCTCCTAGTTTGTGTCAAGTTGACATAAAACTAGTCAACATACTAGGTATGATAATCTTGATTGGAAGTTATTATTTTCTATTAATTGAAACACATCATTATTCCATTCTCTCTAGTCTTTAGTTTGTGCTGATAAATCTTGTGTTCTAATTGATTTGCCTTTAAATGTAACCAAGTGTTTCCTCTCATAACTTGTTTGTTTGTTGTTGATTGTTTTTGAGATGCAGAATGTAGCCATTCTGTCTGAGAATTCACTCTGTAGTTCTACCTGGCCTTGAACTTATGATAGTCTAAAGGTCACAGCCTTCATAGTATGTTTCTATGTTGAGATTTGCACATTTGTTATGAATGTGAGTTACACTATTGTGTGAATCCTCCTCAGTTAGCACCCCTTTCCTCATATATCTTGGGGTATCAGTTTGTCCTGTAGTGTTGAATTTAGTTGCAATTGGACTTCCTGCTATGAAGTTTGTGTGGAATATTTAGCAGTGATCAGTGAGCTTTGACATGATGTGTACAATGTGAGTCTGTGCACACACCTGGCTATCATGCTGAATCTCACACAACTCTTTGGTTCTCTAGTTTCTGAAAATTGGGGCTCCTGCTTTCAAAGAAAGCACCTTCTTTCTACTCAGCATTGCATTCTAATTTCCCACTGCACAAAATTCTCAGGGGGATTGTGTCAGAATATCTTCCCCGCAGGCCAACCTACCTAGGCTGATGCCTGTCAGACTAATGCAATATTGCCCAAAAACTGTTGTTCAGCATTTGTTTGGGACGCATAAACAAACACGTAACCATTCCATACAGGGAACTAAAAACAGACCAAATTAACAATACCACCAACGTCCAACTTGATAAACCAATGGTTTATTGTGGGCTACTTACAGGAATGTGTGTGAGAGGTCACTTACAAGTACATAGATGACTCCAAGGTCATCTATGAAAATCTTACCTCTGAAAATCCCATCCCAGTACATGTGACGCTGCTCCCAAATCCCCTCCTTGGAACCCCCTATATAGCTTGAAGGCAACTCAACAGGTCAGAGAGCCTCCTCTCACCAGTAGTCCTTATTGCTTATATAACCTGGAAGGAGGGACTGTGTGAATCTTACATGTTTCAGTGACTTCTTGAGACTTGTGATTTGTTTAATTCCTTAGTCTTAGTGAGCTTCCCTTCAAGATGGAATGTTTCCATTAGGAGGAAATTGCTACGCAACATGGTTGCAAAGATGGGAAATTATAGGAACCTTCGATTCTCAGAGCAGTTAAGCATAGACAGTAAAAGCCATCACAAGATGACTGCCCAATTACAGCACGCTGATAATAATCTTGGAAACACAGATAAATTCTCCAGAATGAGCTTACTGTGCTGATTTTAAGTGGCTTGTCTATCTAGACTATCTTCCCCAGCCCACGCAGTGTAATTTCTTATAGTTCTAAAGCTGATTGGTGAGTGGTAATTAGTGCCACAGCTTAGAGGAAACCAAATATAAGCCCACAAACTTAGAAAGACAGATAGCGCATTTTGTCACTCATGTGTGCAGTCTTGACTGAAAAGAAGAAACTCTGGCATGAAAGAGGAAGGAGAACTATGTTAGGGGGACAGGGACAATGGGGATAAGAAAGGGTGGTAGAGGGGGAAGTGTGGCTGAAGTCCATACTAGGCATGTACAAGAATGTTATGAGGCATAGTATTTTATTGAATTAATAAATAGTTTTATCTTTTTAAATCCAGGCCTACAGAGGCTAAATTCAGAAGTCTGTTAGCTCATGCCAGGATTTCCATAAACCCCGAGTACAAAATTCTCCCCTAGCATTGCTCACTGAGGCATCTTTGTCTTTCACTCTCACCATCCCTTTGTATGGCAGTTGGCCTTGAGACACCGCTTTTCTCACAGTTCTGTCTCCAAACTCCAACCATCTCTAAGACTCTGTCACTCCAGTATTACATTCCACCACTCTCCTTTACTCATGCATCTATCTACACAAGCAGGAAGGGCTCCTGTTTTGCTGCTAATATGGAAAAGCTGAAAGGCCCTGGGTCACTTTAAGCTGTGTCTTGAGTATCACCAAGCGTGGAGTTCTCAGCAGCCTTCCTATCCTGACATCATTAGTATGGCAGTTGTAAATATATTGTAGTAATGTCTGAGTTTCTTTGCGTACATTATTCACACATAGTTTTTCCATATGATCTAGAACATATATTTTTATTTATTTCAGACACATGTGATAGACCTGAGTTCCAATGAGAAGTCATTAAGCTTTTCAACAATTGAAGAACCACAGGTATAACATGTAGAGTTATTAGTATGATTATGGTGGGTAAGAACAGTTTTAATTTCCTTTCTTTGAAAATTTTTGGAAAGAAGACAAAAAGGTAAACATTCACTTATATTAATAATTAAAAGACAGGAATGCAATGTAGATAACTTCCATTTGGTTTCTTTTATTGGTACATATTTTCTCATAGAATTTTCTGGCTAGAACTTGCTCATCCACTTATTGACCTAAGTTATAATTATCCTTTTCTGCCAAGCAATAGATAGTCATCATAGCTCTTACTTGGGGAAGAGGCTACTGTTTATCAAAGTGTATCTCTTAATTTGGTTGTATATGACTTTGCTTGAGTCACTATGCAGACTTTGCTGGATAATGCTCACATCTTGCTAGCTCTACAATTTTGTGGATCTTTTTAGTGTAAACTATATAATCATTTACAAGATTTTGATTGGACTTTATTTATCAAGGAAGGATTAGCATTAAGCGAGATTTAAAGGAAAATTAGAAATTAGTAAGCAGCTGTAGATAGGTAAAAGTGTCAGAAGCAAAAACAAGTCTGTGGTTTGCACAACCCTAGATAAATGAAGACCTGCTCTTCATTATTTTACTTGTCCCGACATTAGGGGCCAGTGACATAAAAATGGGAGGGTATTTAGAAGTTACTAAAATAAAGCAATTTACTTTAGAGTTTTGACTTTGGAAATCATCTAATTTCTATTTTCTGCTGCCTTTGCTACATTGTTAGTTTAAAAATTCTTAAAACCAGGTCCTGTAAAATGCAAGAAGACCTTGCTGAATTATAAAAAAACATATAGACAGCCCACTAAAATGAGAGGCATAGCAAATGACAGCCCATTTTTGAACATGGGAGAGCTATTCTCTTGACATGGCTGGCTAAGCTTATGAGAGCTCACTACCTCAATGGCTTACTGTGCCTCAAGCAGCCATTTTCCTGTGTCTTTCCTTCCCACTGTCTTAGATGCTAGGCTTGAATTTTCCTGGGTTGCTGTGAAAAGAAAGGCATATGCGGTTAGAAGTAAGGTCTGCCAGTCCAGTCTGTTTCCCTGAGAATTCAAATTTCAAAGCTTTCTAAAGAACAGACCTAGAAACAGTAGAAATGGGAATCTCTTCTTTGTAAATGGAAATGTAGTTCATATTTCACATACTTCTTTTATGTTTGCTCTGTCAGGCCTACTTTAGTGAGAAAAAATAGTTGTATTTGTTATGCTATTTCTGTATATTAGCCTGTTCATTTAGAACTCATGTTGAAATAATTTATTTGGCAAACTAATGAACCCCCAGGCCTAGTATCTATCACAGTTTGTAAAGTTTAAATTAGTGAGCCTTCACCACGTGTTAGCATATAGATGCAAATGTAAAATCTTTACAGTGATTTATATATAACTGTGACACCTTTGTCAACTCATAATGGTTTGATGGTTGCTTTAAACACTTTACAGAATCAAGACATGGTTGAGAAAGAGATGGAAAGTGCAACTTGTACTGAAATTGATGATAGTTATGAATATGAAGAGATGTCAAAAATAAAAGAAGGGACAGTATACAAACAGTATTTAGCAAAAGGGATTTTCATGATACGCCCACAGGAGATTATGGGAGCATTTTCAGATGAGGAAGTAGGTAATGACATAGACCTGGCAGAGCTTCAGCTCAACACCGATGAAAAGAGTTTACAAAAAGAGGAACTAGAACAGGAAAGTATTGAAGAAATACTCCCTGAGAAGAAAATGGAGGTGATGGAAATAGCAGGTATGACAGATATTAGCGAAAGGGAAGACGATGCAAAGTCAGATGCATTTTTTGATGAATTACAAGATACAGATGTGACTGCCGAGAGTGAAGAGAATAAAGATACTACACAGGAAAGGGACAGCGATGAGCAGAATTTGATCTTTGACAGTGAAACGGAAGTGTTAGAAGAACCAGACAGTTACGTGGAATGTGAAGGGCCAAGGCAGCCAGACAGAGCTGAGGAGCTGGAAGAGCCCAAGCCAGTAGAACCTAGTAGTGATGATAAAGATGACGATGAAGTGGAAACTGAGCATTGCTTATGGTACAGCAGGAAATGTGCTGAACAAGAAAGTGAGAGTGAAGCCAGAGCAACCAGATTTGTTGCAAAATATGATCTTAAGCATGACCACTTGTCAGGGATACCCGAGGAGCAGGAAGGACCAGAAGACATAGAAGGAATTGCAGTAGTGGAGCAAATGATTGAGGTACAAGAGGAAAATGTGGAATTGGAAGGAGAAATAAAAGAGGCGGAAACAGAAACCCTGTCAGATGTCAGTACAGAAAAAGAGGTGAGTGGAAGTGAGGGAGAGTCAGGGGGCGAGGTGGAGGATGAATCTGAGGATGAAAGGGATCAAATGTGTGAAAAGGATAGTTTAGGAGCACAACAGTGGCAAAGGGTGCAGGCAAAACAAGAGAGGAAGACAAGTAGGAGGAAAGGAGAAAGGCGCATCTTAGTTATGGAAGAGAAAACCTTAGAGGAGGAGGAAGGATGGGAGCAGGGTGGTGAGGGAGGAGAGAAAATGGAGAGTGATGAAGGAAACAGAGAGGAAAGAAACCAAGAGATACAAGAAAGAGAAGCAGCGGGTGAAGGAAGTGGAGAAGAGGAAGACGAGGAAGAAGGGGAGGAAGAACCAGAGGAGGGGAGGGAAGAGGAAGAAAGAGAGAAAGAGGGAGGAGAAGACCCATCAGAGGAGCAAAGTGGGGGGGAGGAAGGGGAGGAAAACAACAAGGAAGAAGATAGGAAAGAGAAAAAAAGAGAAAGGGAAGTGAAGGGAGGTGAAGAAGATGAGGGAGAAGGGTTGAAGGAAGGAGAAGAGGAAGGGAAAGGAGAAGAAGAGGGGGAAAGAGATGAAGAAACAGGAGAGGAGGAGGGGGAAGGAGAGGAAGAGTGGGAGAGAGAGGAGGAAGAGGAGAGAGACAAAAGGGAAGGAGAAGGGAAAGGAGAGGAGAAGGGGAAAGGAGAGGGAGACGAGGAGGGGGAAGGGGAGGAAGAACAGGAAGGAGAGGAAGAGGGGGAGGGAGAGGAAGAAGGGGAGGGAGAGGAAGAAGGGGAGGGAGAGGAAGAGGGGGAGGGAGAGGAAGAGGGGGAAGGAGAGGAAGAAGGGGAGGGAGAGGAAGAGGGGGAGGGAGAGGAAGAGGGGGAGGGAGAGGAAGAGGGGGAAGGAGAGGAAGAGGGGGAAGGAGAGGAAGAGGGGGAGGGAGAGGAAGAGGGGGAGGGAGAGGAAGAGGGGGAGGGAGAGGAAGAAGGGGAAGGAGAGGAAGAGGGGGAAGGAGAGGAAGAAGGGGAGGGAGAGGAAGAGGGGGAGGGAGAGGAAGAGGGGGAAGGAGAGGAAGAAGGGGAGGGAGAGGAGGAGAGGGAAGGAGAGGAAGAAGGGGAGGGAGAGGAGGAGGGGGAAGGAGAGGAAGAAGGGGTAGGAGAGGAGGAAGAAGGGGAAGCAAATGGAAGGTGTGATGACTGTGAGGAGGAGGAAGAAGCATATGGTGAGGAAGAAGGGGAATACAAGGAGATAGGTGGAAGAGAAGATGAAAATGAAAGTCAGGAAGATAGAGAACAGTCCCCAAAAGTGAGTAAAAGAAAAGGTTCTAGGACACATGGCAGATATGGGACCTATTCGGAAAAGCCCATTCCTAACCCAGGGAGAAGGGGAAAAGAGCAGAGGTCTAAAATGCCAGTGGAGTCAAAACAACTTTCAGATAATGGTTCCAAAAAATTCTGGAATAATGTTTTACCACTTTATTTGGAATTGAAATAACAGACTAAATTTGACCTGATTATGGACAGTGAAGTCATTTGCACGCCTTATGTATAATAGATATACTCACTCCAGATTATGAAACTGATCTGTTACTATGGTACTTTTACACATGGTTATAAAACAACTGATGTCAGTTGTATTAAGGTATCAAAGACAACAGGAGGCAATGTTAAGTCTTGATTCCTCCTAAACTCATATCTCCCCCCCCCCAAGTTACTAACCTATAACTAGAAACTATTACAAAGCTGTTTGTTATAGTTAATAATGTATATACCTCATGGATGATAGATATCTATACTAGAAGCATACTATAAGTACTATGTATATAAAAGTCTTTTTAAAACAATACAGATGCTTAAGGGCTATCAAAACTTCTGACTTTTTAATAAGTATTTTAAGTACCCCTCTTCAGTCTCTGTCACCTAGAATATTTTTATAATAATTGATAATGTTGATGGTAATTGAAGATAATCAATGATAATTGATGATAACTGAGGTGAGAATTTCCTATTTCAAAGGAATGACATTTCCCTTTACTTTTTTGTCCCTTTTCATGAAGATCTATGAAGCAACAGCTGTTTTCAGGCCTTAGAGGCTAATGATGTTATCTCTTGCCATTGCTACCTAGGCATATGACAGCATAGCTCATGAAATGGCAGTCAACTTAAACACATAATATAGGGGCTTGTATGAGTTAATGTTTCAAGGAAGAAAATTATATATTAAAATTCATTCTTCTGCTCTTAAAAATTATAACTTTAGTGTCTCTTGTGTTTTGTAATTGTAAATTTCTGAATCCAAGTAATTTCTGTTTTAACTCTACTGTCAGAACTTTCATTCTCCATGTGTGTTATGTGTCCTCAATGGATTTTCATTGACTTTTGTAATTCTGTTTGTCTGTTGCTTATCAGAATGTTTCAAGTCAAATAAAAATTAAATGTATATACTCAATATTGTTTGTGGAAAGAAAAATGGTCTAGTATTAGATAGTGAATTTTTGAGAAGCCAGGCTCCACTAGATTTATATAATGTAGCTAGTTTGGTTGTGTAATCTTAACTTCTTTTTCAATTGATTTCCTTTCTCATCCTGTTCCATACCTTGGGCATGAGTGATTTCTTATACATTTTTCAAGGAAGACTTTCATAGTAACATTTTTGAATTTTGTGTAGTTGAACTCCATACATTTGATTCTCTGTGAGAACGAGCATGAGATAAATTACAAGAATCACATGATATAGCATTTCCTTAGAGAAATCTGTAAATTATAAGTTGCTGCAAAGATAGTTGGTAGCATCCCCCAAGTAGTGGACTACATTATTTTGACACTGCAGCCCTTGACCAAAGTCTGCCATATTCATTTTTTCTAGAGTAGAATTAACTGTATGATAAAGTACGTCTACCAAAGGTGATTATTTAAAAATAGATTTGAAAAGATTAAATAAGAGGGATGGCAGACATGATAGCCATAAAAGAAATTCTAAGAGAATTCCAAGGAGATGAGAAGCTAAACTTCGAGTTATTCATGGCTAAGGCATGGTCTTTCAAGAAGAGAATCAGCCAGCAATACTGAAGTCATGTTCTTGACTGCACCCATTTCACCATTTGAACTGATACAGATTGCTGCTTTTGAGCAGCATTTCTTACCATTTCTTTGTATTTCCCTGCCCCAAAACTTGGTGCACCCTTTAGAAGTAGTAGTTCTTAGAAGTTACAGTCAAGAGCACTTACATAATCATTTTGAGTTCAAGTCCCTATTGGCGTGTGCTTTCAAGCTGTGTGAAGTTACTACCTCTGTAAGGGTCCATTTTTTTTCTAGAAACATACAGAATTGGAATGGGAGACCTAATTGACAGGAGCAGCTTTGTTAGAGCTTTGTCACACCAGAATTTCTGCTATCCCTCTTCCTCAATTTAAAAAAGGCATGTTTAGTCCCCCAAATCACCCTAAACAAAGCATGCTAACTTTCTCTGTCCAGTGTTCAACTGCCACATACTAAATCACACATGTGGCAGGCCTAATACCCTCTAAAGTTTATGGATAGGAGTTTGGTGGTGGTTAGTGGTACATTGAGACAGCGTGAAAAAGAACATAAGCTTTCATAAGAAGAAGTTATTACATATGCATAAATCTCATCATTAGAGAAAAAGAAAAGTGAGGAATAAGACCACTTGATCCCTTGAGACTTGACAGCTGGCTACATAGATTTCAATAGCTAGTTGTTTCTCATTTATTTTGCTTTTGAGACAGAGTCTCCCATAGCCCAGGTCTGCTTAGTGTTTTGCTCACTAAGTAGCCAAAGGTGGCCTTGAACTTCTGATCCTTCTGTCTCTACTCTTCCAATGCTGGGTTTACAGTCATGGTAAATCTGCTAATTGCTCAGGTATTTGCTATAGTTTTCTAATCATTGCTGTGGGGAATGTGAGGTATTGTATATGTAGACTCCCTTGAGTTACAGTTTCCTAATGCAGACTCTGGCAGAAAGAGACTTTCAGGTAAGCTGGGGGGAATTTCTGCAGAACATCTGTGACTGCTCAACAGCAGCCATCAAGGTGAGTGACACTGAAGTATGCTTTGTTTGGTAATGATTCACTGTACAGATCAGCTTACATGGCATGTGCTCTTTCCCACCAGTGCAGTAGTGAAGGAAGGTGCTCTAATCTTTTACTTCAATCTTTTCATTGTGAAAATTCAGTGTCATATGGCATGATTAGTTCCTATCATATAGTTTAATAGCTGGTACATATATTGGATAAAGTATTTATGTATCTGTCACCAAAAAATTGAGTGGTCTTCCTCAAGTCAGATAGACCTCAAGAAGTGAGGACAGGTTATAGTCCACTTCCCATGGCCCTCTTTTCCCCCATCGTAACTGCAGAAAGACTAAAGATATATTTCTCCAAAGAACATTTGGAAATGTCTCTGTCATGATTATTTCATCATTTATCATGTTTTTTCTTAATTATATGCATGACTATTTCTTAACAGTGCTGTTTGTTTTTCTATTCCCGTGTCCTTAGCCAAAGTCACCCTAAGATGAAAATTCACCTGCAAAATACATCCATGGCTTGCTTTTCAAAAATGAGCTAATTAAAGAAAAGAAAGGTTTTGTGTCTTGGTTCTATAAGACATGAGATATGCCCCCTGATGTCAGAGGACTCTATAAGCCAACAAGAAAATTCATTAGTACAATAGAGAGTATTAGCCGAACCACTTCAGCTCCCATGTGAAAGGGTTGATAAGGAACTTGCCAGGAGTGAGTAAGGAAACTTTGAAATGAGTCGTGTTAATTAGAACTTAACAGGCAAAGGGCCTTACATATACATACATGATGTTACAGGAAAAAGAATAAGGTTTTATAAGGTTATTCTTGTGGCAATACAAAGAATGATTTGAAGCAGACAGGACCACAGGGATGGAAGTTAAGAGCCAATTATAGTAGATCAGGTAAAGAATGAAATAGACATGGGATAGGATAGTGGGGGTGAAGGATGTGGGGATATATATCAGGCAGTTGGAGGGCTTAGAACAAAGATGTAGCTAGCATGGAGAACTGAGTGAAAAGAGTGCTGTTCAGGGTGACTTCGAATAAGAGAGTAGGAGGAGTCCAGAAAGACAGTTCTGCATTTGCTAGCTTTTGATGGTATCCGGCAGATGTTCATGTGTCTGGAGCTCAGTAGAAGTTTCTGGGGATCACTAACTTATGTGTATAATTAACTGGATCAAGTCAAGCAACCCTTTTGTGAGGAGAGCGCTTCAGACAGGATTCAGGGAAAACATCAGGAAGTGAGTGGTTAGAAGCAGTGGTTCTCAACCTGTGGGTCATGACCCATTTGGGAATCACATATCAGATCTCCTGCATATCTGATGTTTATATTATGATCCGGAACCAGAGCAAAATTACAGTTATGAAGTAGCAACAGAGTTTATGGCTGAGGGGTCACTGCAGCATGAGGTAGATTGAGAACCACTGGGTTAAAGAATAGTAATGAAGTTGAGGAACAAAACTTAGAGAAAAGATGTGGGGTAGATTCTAGGAAAGAAAAACGCTACCCAGGCTAAGAATGGGTTTCAAGGAAGAAGAATTGATAGTAGCAAAAGAGCGCTGTGGCCTGATAGACGGCTAGAGCTAACATTAACAGAAAAAAAAAAAAGCAAAAGAAGCCCAGGAAGTTTGCCTTGCAGAAAAATAGAATCCAAACTACACTTTACATTCTGAAAATGATCAGCCAGAGCTGCTGGCATGGTTCTCAAAACAGGATGGGAGGATGTAAAATGGATACTGCAGATAAGACTTCCTAACTTTTAATTTGCAGTTGATATAAACAATGAAACATGAGATGGGATGTCCTTGTTGGGAACTTAGGAAATAAAATAATCTGCAATGTTTGAAACATCAGTGAGTAGAGAAAACATGGCTTTTATGGTCTTTAAAATATTTGGACAGAATTGGTGAAGAACAGAGCCTTTACAGTCCAGCAGTCATGAACTCAAGCCCAGCCCTCCTTGTAGGTGGTACTGGGAAAGAGTTTTAGTTTTTAGTGCTTGAAGCACAGAGAAGTTGATCCCACTCATGTGGTTAGCATAAAATGCATGACTACAAAAAAGGAAATAAATTGTCTAAGGAAAAACAATGAGAATGGCATAGAATAAATGTAAATATTGGAATAAAAATGCCTACCACTGCAGGGTACAGTACTCTGAACATTACATTCACTTTTGTAGGCTTGCTTCTCCATCAAACTGTGATGTATACAGTAGTTACAGTAAAAGATTAGCAATGAAATAAGGAATTGTGTGTAGAAAGAAACAAGACTTTTTTGTGTATAAAGTCATGTCATAGGAAGATAAGAATCCAGAGATCAAACTGGTAGCTGGTAGGCCTAATCTGGCCTGTAGACTATATTTTTGCTTCCTGTACAAGTAATTTCTTTTAATTCAAATTGTTTGCCAGTATTGAAATAAAGCAGATTATATAATATATAATTTGAGAACAAATATTTAAATGTTTATTTGTTTTGTTTTCAAATAAATTATTGTGATAAATCAAGTCAAATTATTTTTAAAAGCAATGTTCTATAGATCACCTAAGCAAAAAAATAGCAAGTAAAATAAATGTTTGTTTGACTTAGCTCACCATCTAAAACACTGTTTACAGCAACAATGAGATGTTACTGACACTTGTTACAATTTCCTATAGCAAAAAAGCATTATGCTGAATGCTAGCAAGGATGAAAAGCCAAAGTAGCTTTGATTTTTTTCATTAAAATACAGATTTTAAAATGAACAATTTGATACTTCTCTGCAAAATCTCATTTGTTGCCTTAAGCATCAAGTCACAATAATCAGTTTAAAAAATTGAACCTATAATAACTTCATTTTAAAAAACAAAGATTTCATAGTTATATGCCAAAAGTCTACAGTGTGTGATAGCATGTTAAAAAGCTTTAAAAGAAATTCCATAACTTTTCCCAAACTATTTTAAATTTTTGATTACAGAATCACTTTTTTGAGATTTTAAAATAATCACAAAATTTCTCCCTTCCTCTTCCTCCAAAACTTCCCATATACCACTCCTTACTCTCTTTCAATGTCATGGATTCCTTTTTCATTAATTATTAGTATATTATATTAGTATATTATTATTAATACATATAACCTGTCAAGTCCGTATAATGATACTCATATGTATGCACTCAAATGTATGTTTTCAGGGCTGACCATTTGGTATTAGATAACCAATTGGAGTGCACTTTGTTTGGGGAGACTAATTCTACTCTGAGGATTTCTCAGTTTCTTTGTGTAGGGTTGAGGCCTCGTGGACTTTTTCCTGTTCATATTGGCATGTCTATTGGTGTCCTTGTCCAGCTCATGTTTAAGCTGTCATGTTGGTGAGACTTTCTGGGTGTCACTTCTCACATTACAACAGACACAGTCTCAAAGAAACCTACCTGATCCTCTGGATCTTTTGGTCTTTCTGTCCCCTCTTCGAAAATGTTCCCTGCCCCTTAGGTGTGGAAGTGTTTTATAGATATACCTGTTGGGACTGGGCTCGCCAACAGTGGGTTTTGATTGGTTGTGTTTTTTCTGTAATGGTCTCTCCATTGGTTTCAAAGAGAATTTCCCTTGACTAATGGTGAGGACTACATTTATCTGTGGGTATAAAGACAAATGTCTATATTGCTGTTAGTGATGGTTAATGGTTAGTTTAACAAAGTAATGCTTATAGGTTGTCCTCTAGTATCCGTGACTGTGCTAGCACTGAGTAGTTGGCTAGGTTTCCAGTATCAGCCATGCTTTCCCTCCTATTGATCAGGTCTTAAATCCTATTAGAGAGATGTTGGTTATTGCTAAGGTATGCATGCCACTATAGCACCCTTAGGGGGTTGTGGAGCCATGCTCATCATTGTTCTGGTTCATAGGCATCATAGCTGTCTAAGAATGTTGGTTACTTTTCCTCCTTTGGAAACTTGCTTGGTACCTTCTGGTACTATGAAAGCTCGTCCTCATGAAGTGTTTTCAAGTCGGTTCTAGCTCTGAGGCCTCTAAGGCCCTGAAATTCTGGCATCTTCAGCAATAGGAACTTACATTCCATTGCTTTGAGGCGAAAGGAAATAGCAACAGCCTATATATTTTGGGATTCTCTTGGGCAGCCCTGGCAAACAGTTCAAAGGAGGGCTTCTCATGTCTGGTATTGGGATTTTTGTTAGTTGAACGTTGACTCTCAGAGGGAGCATTGTCAGCTCAAATGAGAAATTTTCATTTAACATATGTATATATATATATATATATATATATATGTGTGTGTATATATATATATATGTGTGTGTGTTAATGTGTATATGTGTGTATACACATAATTACATGTATTGTAGATTCTTTGAGTTAATGGTATGATTCTTTTGATGTTTTCAGACATCCTTATTGTTGGTTTATCCCCTATTTCCTTATGTATTTACCTCTCTTCCCTTCTCCCTAAAGATCCCTCTCTTGGAGGGCTTCGGCCTCACTGAGCACTAAATTTTAAGGCTCCTGTGGCCTAAAGCTCTATCCCAGTGTACCCTATCTTCATTGGTCACTGAGGTCCCATTGCCTTCTCCTTGCCTGTCTTAGCAGCCAGGGTACTAATCTAGAATAAGGATTTTGGAAATGAAGGGAGAAAATCTGAGTGGATAACTGACCCATTTTATAGTGATAAGATCTGGGACATTGTGGCAAACTAAATTATCAAAAGGAACATTGACATTTTTGATATCCCTCACAAGAAATACAAAGAATATTGCCCTGAGCCAAACCAAAGACCAGAGCTGAGTGTGACCAATGAAGTGATGGTTCAGTTGTATTTGTCTGACCCATTGACTTCTTCACTGTGATCCTAAGACAAGGCATGTGCTTGACCATTCTAGACTATCTTTCTAAGAATATACTTAAACTTTACCTTTTCTTTTTATAAAATGACAGTATTCTGCCAATCTCTCCTAAGTTATCTCAGTTTTAAAGGTAAGTGTTTTCTGTGGTTTATAGTAGTTATACAGGTATGTTTAAAATTTTAAATGTACTTAACAAGTTCAAAGTACTACAATCTATGTGACTTTTAGTGAAAAATACCATGTTTAATAGCATTTAAAGTATGTTCATTATCTTTTTCTGGGTCATAAGTAGCTATGCTTACCTCACTTATAAAAAATGAATTATAAATTGGGGATGGGAGGAACTCCAAATCCCTGTTGTAGAAAATGAATGTAATTCATAGATTTGACTATATTAGATTGTTGCAGTAAGGGAAAAGCTTTTTAATTTCTCTCAAACTTAAGATCATTCTTTGCATAAAGTCAAGAAGACATATTTATTTCCGTGTTGGCCTTACCATAGTTACTAACAAATTTTCAGGAACACTAGTAATTGTCATACAACAGCAGACATACCCAGAGCAACAGCCATGAAATCATTAGTGATGCAGTATCGTGATGTTCAGCATGGATTCTACATTATTTCATGTCTTCAGCTTCTAAATGCCATTTAGTAGTGTATACATTGATTGAGATTATCATATAAGTTACAAGAGCATTATCATATCTATTCATTAAAAAAGGAAATTATAATAATCACTTTTGTCACAGGATCAGCAAATTTCAGAAACTGTGGAACCCGAACCCGAACCAGAACCAGAACCAGAACCAGAACCAGAACCAGAACCTGAACACGAACCAGAACCTGAACACGAACCAGAACCTGAACACGAACCAGAACCAGAACCAGAACCAGTACCAGTACCAGTGCCAGTGCCAGTGCCAGTACCAGAACCAGAACCAGAACCAGAACCAGAACCAGAACCAGAAGACATGGATGACCAAGTTAGTGTCCCAAATGTGGAAGCCATTGTAGAAGAAGAAGTGAAGGAAGAAGAGAAGGAAATTGTGGAAGAAAGCTTCCCTGAAGATAGCCCTCCTGAAACAGAAAGCTCAGAAACTATTGATGCCCTCGATGACAACCCAGATGAAATCATTAAAGAGGTATAATGACAAGGTTTTCTGTCCTAAGATAGCACCTAAGAGAAAAGAGAGGATGAATTGCAGTTTCCCATGGAGCAGAAGTATATCTATGTGTCATTTCATTTAAACTGAATGAGTAGGTTTATCTAGTCTAGGAATTAAGCAAACCTTGTCTCTAGCACACTTGCCACACTGCTAGGTAGTATTTTATTCCTACATGAGTAGAAATAGACACTGATAGTATACTCTTGGGAAGTGAACCAGAAAGTAGGGTATCTGTCTTTGAAATGCTTAGAATAAAAAGTTGGGAACCTAGGTGCTGGCTGCAGAAACAATATTTATTATGTGCATATATTCATGCATACACACATGTAAATGCAGAAGGCTGCAACAGTATTTAAGTTCATAACCTGTTTGTCATGAATGCAGTCTGCCAACATTACTAGGATTAATTTCAGAGGTGTGGAATGCTGAAAGCCAAATGGAATGGCATTGTGTTGTTTTTCACCTTTCTGACTACTTTCAGAAAATACTGAGTTAGTCATGGTTTCTAGTTAATGATATACTCTCATTCCTGCTCCATCAAATTCTTAAAAAAAAAAAACTCATTCTCTTTCTAACAGAAACAACTACCCAAACATAGGTAACCTTAAATTTGGATATGTACTTTAAAAGCATATATTGTGTTCCTATTTATTTTATTTTATTTTTCAATAGTGTCTCATAGCTCAGGTTGACACCAACCTCACTATGTGGCTGAATATGGCCTTGAATTCTTGATCCCCATGTCTCCACCTCCCAAGTGCTCAGATTAAAGATATGTTCAGCTATGTGCCTGCCATTTTTAATTTAAAAGCTGCTATTGTAGTGTAGAAGTTGTCTTTTCTTCGTTTCTGTATTTCTCAAGACTCTTTACTTTCACTGAGGAAAAAATTGTTCAGTTATGGCTAAAAAATTATTCTGCTTGTGGGAATTTTTGATAACTCAGGTTTTGGTTGTCAGTAAAAAAAAACATTAAATACCCATTTCTTATTACAAATTTTTGACAGAAATTGTGTGCCATCTAGCATCCTTTAGTCATCTTATAGATGATGAAATCATACAATTTTCTTAAGTCCATAAACTTTTTATTTTTTAAAGACAAGATCTCGCTGTATAGCCCTAGCCATCCTCAAACTTGCTATGTAGACCAGACTGACCTTGAGCTGTGAAAACTACCTTCTTCTGCTTCCTGAAGATTACAGGCATGTGCCACTGTGCCTGGTTTAGAGTCACTGAGGGCATTAGCAATCACTGAGCATCTGAGGCTTCCTATTTCATAGTAGCCTAGCAAAGTGAAGCATTTATCACATACCTATGGTATTAATTAGAGGCAGGCTCTGGAAATGTGCTTTTAAACCAAAACTAGGGTTTCTAACAGCACAAATATGTGAGGAAAGTTCTTTTGTTAGTGTTTGGTCATACTGTTTCTTTATTGTTTATAGGAAGACAGTGTCAGCCTACTCAAACGGACTCTTCGTGAATACAATGAAAATCCAAAAGGTATGAGCACATTTGATTTGTAAATGGTATCTTAAATTCATCTTAATTTTAATTACATGTATATGTATATGTGTCTGTGTGGAAATCCTCAGGACCCAGACTTTCAAATGGGTGGACGTTGTCTGATGTGGCTGCAGAGAGCTGGATCTGAGTCTTCTACGAGAGCAGTATATACTCTTAGCTGCTGATCCATCTCTCCAGCCCCTCAACCCACTTAAGAATATTATTTTTGTCATCAGAAAAACCTGTTTCAACCTTAAGTGGAGAGCATAAAGGGAGACATCAACCATTGTCCTCTGGCCTTTGCACACACATACACACATGCATGGATGCCCCCACCCACAGACCTTTGAAAATGGTTTATATTTACACATTTTCTTCTAGTACTTCCAGTACATATATTTCACATCTCTAGAATTTCCTGATAACTCTTCATAGTAGGAAATATTTGGATACTCACAATCCAAATGTTTTTGTGTGTGTGTGTGTGTGTGTGTGTGTGTGTGTGTGTGTGTGTGTGTGTGTGTGTGTGTTGGTTAAGTTATTTTGGGTGCTGGGCATTGGTGGTGCACGCCTTTAGTCCCACCACTTCTCCAGTAGTGAGCTCTTTTTGTGTTATCTCACAACTTGATAGAGTTGATAGAGTTTTCCTGAAAACATCAAGACTTTTCTTTCTCTTTAGTTAGAATAATTTTTTACATGTATTTAATTGTAGGACACATGTACGATCGTATAAAGAGCAGTTCTTCCGAAATTCTGGGAAGTGTTGAACCAACAAGTAAAGACATAAAAAAGTCTAAAAAGGTAAGTCGAATGAATTTTTGCATTTTGATGTTAAGACTGAAGTATTGAATTCACATTCTGCTTTTCCTGTGCTAATCCACATAGTATGAGTTCCTTAATGAGTTTTATAACCCCAATATATACAAAGGGTTTAAATTGGTGATTTATGTGTTTAGTAAGTTACCTTTCTTTTGTTATCATTTGCCTGGTAGAAATATTTTACCCTTTTTTTTTGCTTGTATTTTACATGTGTGCATTGTAAGCAGCCTAAACAGCTGGAATTTTACTTGGAATGTTTTCCCTGCACACCTAATGTCTAGAACTAACCAATATTCTTTTTTTTCTCATCTAATAGCAAAATCTTAAAATAATCTTCGGCCTTGACATCCCTCCTTTCCTATTTTACAAATTACTGTACCCACAGTGTTTTGATTTTATTAATGTTACAAACCATGTTGTTACCTGTTTTTTTATACCTTTCAGGAATGCCACATTATGTAAGGGTTGGCTCAGTCCAATTCCCTACATTTTGTGAACTCAGAATTCTCAAAATCCCAGGATCTATGTTACAAAGTTAACAAATGCTGTTTCAATGCTCACCCCAAAGCTTGCTTCTTCTCCTTTTAGGGCCCATGGAGACTGTCTTTAAACTTTTAAGAAATTGCCTACATATTAGAAAGTTACACTTTGCTAACTTAGTGAGATTTTTTGTTGTTTTATGGTGGAAGTTTTTCAGGATGGGTACTCGCAGTATAGTAAGTAAAGCAGTGCCTCCACTTTAATCCATAATGCTTTTGCTAGAGGTCTTTATAGTTGCATTTTACTCTGGTTACCACCATCTTAATGTTAAATGTAAATTATTATTATTATTATTATTATTATTATTATTATTATTATAATCTCCATGTTGATTTCTGAAAGAGCTGCACATATCCTCATGAAGTTTTCATTTCCTATGTTTTTCCTCATTTTGATATCTCATCAAAAGCATTTGTTTTGTTTTTTTGAGGCAGGGTTTCTCTGTGTAGCTTTGGGGCCTATACTGGCACTCACTCTGGAGACCGGGCTGGCCTTGAACTCACAGAGATCCACCTGCCTTTGCCTCCCAAGTGCTGGGATTAAAGGCATGAGCCACTAACGCCCGGCCAAAAGCATGATTTTTATGATAGCTCTTTGAATGATACTAATTTGGTCCTGGATAAATCTTCAAATGTCCTAAGTCAGATGAGACCTTTGTCCTCAGATGCCAGTCTTCCCGCTGTCTCATGCACATGGCCCCCTAGGTCATCGACTTCTTATTATATGTTCCTTCCCTGACCTCCAAGCTGCTTTAGTTTTCTAATTTTGACCCCACAACCTTCTGTCCTCAGGGCCAGATTACCACATCTGCCTGCCTCTCACTCATTGCTCCCCATCAACCTTCCTTAGAGTCTCCTCTGTGTCTGCCAAGGAGCCCTCCTGTCTTCATCTGTTATCATATTCTCTATGTCTCAGTGCTGGCCTCCCAGAGCAGTCCCCCATCTCTCCCACTGATGACTCACACCCACAAGCATCATACAGCCTTCATCTGGCAACTCTTAACAGTTTCTCAGAACTTCTAGCCTCAGGAATATGGACTTATGTCTTCCATTTCTAGAATATCATAGCAGAAATTATCTACAGTTAAGGTACATCAGTGATACCAGAAAAGTCCCCAAATGACCCAGTCTTCTCACATTTAAATGTCAACAGTGACTGATTTCACCCTTGAAGAAACATGATGGTATATTCTGAAGATATTTTTAGTGTTGAAAGTTATATCCTGAAAAATCTTATTTTAGTCATGACTGCATTCTGATAAAAGGGAAAAAAATCTTAGTTTGGATGCTAAATAAATATCAATATATATATATATATATATATATATATATATATATATATATTAAATTCACTAATTTATGCTCATACCTGTTAAAAATTATATTCCTGTGTACTTTCTGAATATTTCACTTACTGAAATGAAATCTTTTTTGTTTGTGTGTTTTTGCTAGATTTCCTTCTTTAATCGGATGTCATTGACAGGTCAGAAAATGATGCAGAATACTAACGATCCACTTCCAGAAATAAAGCCAATAGGAGATCAAATAGCCTTACAAAATGATAAGAAAGATGCCAACCAGAACCACATGGGTCAAAATCTTCAGGATACTGCACCACCAAATATGGAGGGAAAGTCCAAATCCTGTACAATACTATAAATGTATGTTTATGTTTCCATGGTCACCGAGCACATTTGTTCTTCATACTTGAAAAATGTTATGTCTTCTGAAGGAAATTTCCTGATAACACTGTTAAAAAAAAAGATAAAATTAATGTTTGGCTTGGTTTAAACAGTTTTAATATTTATTTATGCTCATATTCTTAATAAGCGGAATACTTGTACCTCCAATCTTCCTTGACGTGTTTGGCCTTAACTGTTCAGTGTTGCATAAAACAATATATTTTTATATTTGAAAGCTGAATGAAGATATTTCATAGTTTTGCTAACACAGTTATCATTATTTGTAATTTCCTAAGCCAATGTTTGTGGTCTTACAACACTGGAACAGTTTTGAGTATATTTACAACATTTAAAAACAGGCATAAAATGTGATGCACTTATTTTAATAAATTATAACTGTTGGGTCTGCTGTTAAAATGGACAAGGTACTTGAACTTAACAATAATAGGCAAAAAAATCTAATTTTGAATATCAAAGGAGGGGGCTGGAGAGATGAGGCATTTGATGCTCTTACACAGGACGTGAGTTTGGTTCTCAGCCCCTACATGGGGCTCACAACTGCCCATAACTCCAGTTCTAGGGGATCTGATGCCCTCTTCTGATCTCTGCAGGTACCAGTCGGGCACATGGTTCACAGACATACATGTAGGTAAAACAATATAAAGAAAACAAATCTAGATTTTTAATCAAAAGGCACAAAATATCTTTAATCCTTAACAAAAATGTGGATCATCTGTAAAATTTGACCTGCCACCAGTTGCGATCCTGAGACCCCAAAACAGTCAGGCTTGCACATTTCATCTGTCTCTACCCATTTAATGACACATACTGCCTCATGACCTGAGCATCACAAAGTGCGCAGGACTGATCCATCTACCAATCTGCTCTGATGGGAGCTTTGCTTCCTTGCTAACATTGTATATTTAAAACAAATGGACCACACTCACTTCCCCCATCCTCCCTTGTAAATGAAACATGTCACTCTTTAGCCACAGTGACCACCTACAGGGTAAAAAAAAAAAAAAAAAAAACTGTTAATTTGGAGTAGATATGGCTTTAATATCTTAAAAATAGTTTTCTGAGTGGACATTACACTTAGTAGATTTCTTATTTTATTAAAGGTAAACACAGTTTCAAAACTTGTGTTGTTGAAGCTACAGTACCAGTAGGATGTTACAGAAGTATATGAAACATAAACTCTAAGGGCTGAGTGGAAGTAACTCAAAAATGCTACTAAACCATGCTATTTGTGGGAGGTAGAATTCTAAGGTGAGCCCAAGTTTCATGTTGGTGGCACATGCCTGGAATAATCCATTCCCTCTGAGTATGGGTGAAACTAGTGACCATGCTAGGACATCACTCCCTTGCTTGTGTTACCAGGGTCTCTTAGAAAGATTTTGCAGATGTAATGAAAATTCAGTCACTTGACTTTAAGTTAGACTTCCAAAGGGAGTTCATCACAGATGGCCCTGACCTAATCAGGTGAACCTCATCAAAGAGTCTTGAGAGGACCAACATAGAAACAGAACAATTCAAAGCAGCAGAGACCCTGCTGTCTTAGCAAATGCCGACTGCCATATTTATGGAGAACACATTATACCAGGGAGTATGGGGTAGCCTCGAGGATCTGAGGGCTTGCCATTCCGCGATAGTTGGGAACTGAATTCTACCTACAGCCAGTGAGCCTAGGAGAGGAACACAGTTCTCAGACTTGATCCTAACCCTGGCTGGCACATTGACTTCAGCCTTTTGAAAGAGACTCTGAACAGAAGACCCAGTGCAGCAGTGCCCACACTCCTGATCAACCAAAGTCGTGAACCAATAGGTACATGTTGGGAGCTTTCACCTACTAAGTTTATGGTGACTTTCTTTAAAAAATTGTTATAAAATTCTCTCTCTCAATCTCTCTCTCTCTCTCTCTCTCTCTCTCTCTCTCTCTCTCTCTCTCTGTGTGTGTGTGTGTGTGTGTGTGTGTGTGTGTGTGTGTGTATGTGTGTGTGTGTGTGTAAACTTAGAAAGGGCTAAACTATAGTTACATACCAAATTTTGTCTGTCAACTTGTGATCTCTTTTTTGTTTTTTTTTTTCTTCTCTGTTCTAAGTGAAGTGCATTGCTTTGGTAAGAGAAAACACATTTACAAATAAATTTTGTTGAAATAATTAGGCCTTAGTTTTATCTTGGATATAACAATCACTAATTTGACATAAATTTGAATCAAGAAGTTATAATTTAGTAACCAACTAGAAAAATACTGATTCACCTGTAATATTTTCAAAATTTTCAATGCATAAAATACATGGTTAACTTCAGGCCAGTCAGGACTATCTGTAGTGATACCCTGCCTCCAGAACAAACAAAAGAAAGCAAATATAGAAGATACACCCATAAAATCTCACCAATATGATTGTATAAATGTGAGCTGAACAAAGATGACATCAATGAATATGCCAAACTGTACAGGGGAAAAATGTCCATGAGGCCTCAACTCTACATAAAGAACTATAGGCAACTGAGGAAAGCTGGGAGCGGAAGAGCTGGCCCTGCCCAGGGAAGAGCACACCAATTGCTTCATCAGTAATTGCCAAGTGATCTGCCCTGAAAACATACATACTAGTAACATTATAGTATCTTCATTCACAATCCCCAGACCCAGAAAGAACCCAACACCCTTCAACAGTGAATGGAAAGCAAAATGTAGCAGGTCTGTAGAACAGAGTACTTCACTGTAGAAAGGCATATACACTCTTGACATGAACACCCATCTATGCAAGTGAATATGAAAAGTATGCTGGCTTAAAGAAACTTTCTTCACAGCTTACCTCCTATATGACTCTGTTTCTGTGAGATTATCCCAGATACAAAACTGTAACAATGGGAAACAAATCCTTGGGCAAATGGGACTAAGGATGTGACTTCAAAAAGCACTGGACAGTAGTATTTTGGTGAAACTGGTCCCTATTCTGACCTGGCTGGTTACTATATGAAACTAAAATGTGTGCACTTCATAAAACAATAAAGCTAAACTGTTCCACTGGATAACATATTGATTTGAAAATCCATAAAACAAATAAAACCTTAAATAACTCAGTTCAATAAAGTAAATCAAATGGATCCAAAGCAATGAGGTCAGCCATAAAGCTCAAGGAAGTGACAAACATCTATGCCTTGCTTGATTCTAATCCAGTAGACAAATGAGTCATTTAGAAAATGTGTTCTTTGCATTAGCTTATGATGCAGCAATGTGACTAGAGAATCACCATGAGCTTCAAGAATGTTGTATCTCACAAGCTGACTCTTACTAATAATTAACAAAATGTCCATGTTATTGTCCATGAAAAAATACTTGTTGCATTAATGTATGTTTAAATGCTGTAACAAAGTATTTCCAAATCTGAGTTGTTTAGCATTGTAAACTTTGAAATGTGGGATATCATAATTCACCAAAGGTAAGAGCATGGCCTGGTCATTCAGGAACCTGGACTTTGATCATCCAGTAACTTTGGCATTTTCAAAGGGCTTAATCTACAGGCCTGAAAGTAGCATGTGTGCTTTTGTCCACATTACATGGAAATCTGCTCAACATTCTGCATGGAAAATCAGAAAACTTAGTCTCATTTGTAAGTTCAGGAAGACAAGAAAATTGTCATATATATTCTTACTCTATGTGCCAATGAAAAGTGAATCCATGTGCTTTCACAATAAGTTGAATAAAGTCGTACAAAATTCTCACTTTATATTAACTTTTACGACTTAAACTGCATTTTAAACGACAAAACATATGATGGTTGATTTCTAAAGCATAATTGTATTGTTGTGATTTTCCTCAAATTTGATTCTGAGATCTCTCTGGAAAACGACTGTAGACTTAATCCCACCGTCAAGCAAAGATGGCCATCGTTGTGTACAGTGTGCCTTTCACTGGATACTTCCTATTTGACCATGTGTTGTTCTAGAAGCTTGTTTATACTAGTAGTTATATTGGTGGCTCTAGTCTGACCTGTATCTTATCTGTAATTAAAAAAAAGCCACTCTTGGGGAGAGTCTTGACCTAGAAAGTTTTGGGGCTAGATGTGTGGCCTGGTGAGGCTCAGAAGGGGCACATGACAGATTGCATGCACACTTACAGACCCTCCAGAGAAGAGGGCAGTACACCCACCATCCATCCATAGCCTATGTTTTGCCAGCAATGAGAGAGAGACAAAGGGCCATAAGGACCACATCCTTTATTGGGGTCAGGACATTATCACCAATGCAGCTTTCCCAAAGAGAATGTGATAGATGGGGTGAATAGACTCAAATTCTTTGGAGTCCCACAATGGCTGAGCTGATCCCTGTAGCCTATCTGCACAGTTCCTGTAGGGTATGTGGGTGAGTAGAGCCATTCAGCAGCTGTATCTGGATGCCTCAAAACCAACAGCTATTTAAGCAGATATCTGGGTCAGCCACCCCATGGAGCTCTCTGAGGTATACAGGAAACTTGACATTGTGAGGTCTGAAGCCTACTAACATAACACCTGATTATTTCCTAGTACTCACGTGAAATATTTTACCTAGCAGGGTTGGTTGTTTGTTTTTCTAGCTGTTTTGCTCCAGGGTAGTCAATGAATATCCAAACAGATGTGTTTCCACCCTCTCTACCTCCCACACTGAAAAATATCCCACTCATTGCTGTTATTATAAAATGCAAGGGGAACCTTGGCAGATTCCATGGTAGATGAGGGTGGCCTAGAAGGAGGGACAAAGATGCCAGGCAGACAGCTTAAGTGAGAAGTTTTATTAGAAAGGCCCTATCCCAAAGGGTATGACAGACTCTGAAGATCCCCCATGGAAAGCCTCACTCTCCCTGGGCAGCAGAAATGGTATTGGATAGGTAGGCTGTTAATGGAGGACAGGGGAGGAGGGGAGGGACAGGGAACGGGGATTGGCATGTAAAACAATCTTGTTTCTAATTTAAATAAATTTTTAAAAAGGAAAGGGGAAAGGGAAGAGAAAAGAGATAAAGAGACACAGAGGACAGAAGAAAGAGGAAGACAGGAAAAGTCCTGTCTGCCCCAAAGGATCCGTGGGGGTGGGGGGAAGAAAGGGAAAAGAGAGCGTAAGTGAGCAGGGGTTTTCTTTTAAAGGGGTCCTTTACACCTGCATGCAGACTAGTACTCATGGAACCCTTGGCTGACCAGAGTACTACCTGAGTGCATTCTGACAGGTGAGAGGGGCAGGCCAGCATAATGCCTGAATTTTACAATTATTATTATAGCATGTGAAAATACGCCCAACACAAAACATGGACCATATGTCTTAGTGCACGTGGTTGACAGGATGAGCATCTCGGTAATACCCCAAGAAAATATTTTGGATATCTTTTACCTTATTCTTCACTCTCTCTTGAACCACCATAAAACCAATTTTTGGCTTGTATGGGAAATGTGAAAAACATATTGGGAGCACATAAAAAGAGACAATCCTGGAAATTGACTATATTCCACCAAGGAGGAGAGAGAATAGAAATTGTCTATTCTCTGATCATTAGAAGACCCTGTGGCTTCCCTTGACTTCAACAGACAGCATTCACGGTGATTTGAAAACAGATTTTTATACCTGTATTCCAGGTTGAAAAGAGAAATGGAAAGAAAGCATGCCCCACCTCCAGAAGCTGGAGGAATGACTTTCAACATCTCTCATTGGCAAGAACATGCTCATATTTCTACAAGGGAAGCCAGAAAGTGTAGACTTTTGTCTTGAAAGCAGTGTCCCTAATTAAAAATAAGGGATTTGTGTATTTATTTCCTGACAGAAATCAAAACCACTGCCTGTGCATGTACTCCAACTGCACAGCTAGCCCCTTAAGACTCTGATTAAGCTGAAGTCTTTGTCTTGCTCATCTTTCAGCTTAAAAAAATCCACAGATGTATGCAGTGACACACACCTGTTATTCCAGCACCCTGGAGACCAAGACAGGAGGATTGTTAGTGCAAAGCAATCATCTGGGTCACACGTCAAGACCTTGGCCAAACACACACACACACACACACACACACACACACACACACACACACACACACACACTTCATTGGTCTGATTTAAGCTGAAAAGTTAAAGAATGATAAAGTGGCAATATTTATTCCTGCAGGCATAATAGTAACAAGAGGTCTCCTTTTAAACAACCAATGAGAGATGGAATCCATGATTATCACACCCTAAAGAGCGACCCCCCCACACACACACACACCCTATAGACCTTGAAAAGAATCCAGATGTGAGTCTGGATAGATGCAGCCTTCTGATTTGGGATATACTGAAGAACTAGCCTCCTCCATCTTAGGCTTGAAAGCCATCTGATAGTAAAGAAAAACTAGGTTCCCTCCTGTTTATGATTAAACCTCCATTTCTTGAGGCTTGGGCTCTGCCCCACCTGTAACCTTAACTACAAATGGTTCTGTACTGCCTGTTCTGGGAATGGCAATCATGTTTCAAAAGTTTGTTTATAGCCATCTTGCAACCATACCTTTGTTTCAAAGGTTTAAATGACAACCTATGACTACCTTGTCATGAACACTTTGCAACCATGTCTTCATTTCAGGATGTTGTTAGGGTTAACTTGTTAAATTTATGTTCTGCTCTTGTAACCCTGCCTATTTTGCCTACCAAATCCCCCATTTGGAAACCCCTACTGCTGATCTAGAAAAACTGTCTTCTTCACCTCCAATGCTGACCTCTCAAACCCTGCCTTAGGAGAGGCAGCCTGTATGAAAAAAAAAAAGCTTGCTTTAATTAACTGCTTGTAGTAATTAATTTGGCCATGATGATTTGGGTCAGTGGTCTTTCTCCTCCCATCTTTGGGATTAACAACATCATCAGACTTCTCATATTTGATGAAATAAATGGGAAAGACCTCGCAACATCTATGTTAACAAAAGGGAGAATGGCCCCATGAAAGCTGTCTTAACCAGTTTTGTCTCGTCTAAATGTGGCTCTGCAGTTCTAAACTGCCCAAAAGCACTGGATGCATTAAAGAAAGAAAATATATTCAACCAAGTTGGTTGTAAAAATCTACCAAATATAAACTCTGATCCTAAACATTCAATTGCACACAAATGCACAACACACACACACACACACACACACACACACACACACACACACAGCTAATGAAAATTAACCCTAGGTCTAGAGCTGAGCCTGATGAAACACACCACACTCACTTGAATACTTTTTTATCTATCCTATGTGGAGGGAAAAGCCTTCTTTGTACCCACAGGGCAGATTTGATTTGATTTTGTTGTCATACGGGTACTGAACCTAAGGCCTAGCAAACGCTAGATGTATGCTTTACCACTGAACCATATATCCATGGTTCCATGGAAGGCTGTAGAAGACTTAGTTGTTTTGTCCTCTAAGCTGTTTTGGCTTTGCTCTGATTACTCACAGATGTGAACACATCTGTTATTTAGCTTAGGAATCCTGTGTCAGTGACATATTTGCATACAGAGTGGGTGGCAGTGTGAAGGCTATTGCATAGCTGGCTGAACCGTGCTCCACTGGAAGTGTATTCCCGCCCAAAGCCCCAGCAGCAGTGCTCTGGTTTTGAGGGACACCACCTCTCACCTACCACAGACTGCAGGACTGCGGGACACCACCTGTCAGCTACCACAGACTGCAGGACTGGCTCTATCTGTGCTACCATCCCTGGGACCATGCTTCATCATCATGACGCAAGCTGACAATTAGGGCATCAGCTGCTAAAGACAGGCCAAGTATTCTGTGATTGGCTGAAATTTGGGGTCTGGAAATGCTCTATAATCCGAGACTTTCTGTTGTAGGATGGGAAATTGACTACAAATCTTCATATCAAAAGCAATGACAGAACCTTCACTCTTAATGTTACTGTCACCATGACTACCCAGACATCTTGGAACTCTTATTTTTTAAGATTATTTTTTTCCTGTATGTGTTTGCCTGCCTGAGTTAACGTGCACCATGTGCTCACAAGAACTGGTGTTACTGGCACTCGTGTGCTGCTTGATGTGGGTGCTGGGAATCGAACTTGTGTCCTTTGTGAAAGAGCAATTAAACTCTCTTAACCACTGAGCTGTCTGTCTTTCCAACTCCAACTTGGCCCTCTTGTTTGCATAATAAGGAGTTTGAGTGGTTTTATTGAAAAGAGATCGTACAAAATGGCTTCTCTCCTATAGGGGAAATGAAACTATGTATCCCTTCCCACTTCCCACACTACTCACAGCTTTTGTAATCTCTCCTGCCACATAGACCATTTTATCTGTAGGTCATTCTCCAGTTCCCTTACCCCAGACCTCATTGTCAGGAGAATTTTGCCTGGATAGACACACACCTCCTCTTACCTAGAACCCTCATGTATGTCTTTGAGAAATGTTGAATGTTTCGTTCTTTTTAATAGAGAAGAATCTATTAAGAGAAATACACGTGATAATTTGGGTGACATGTTATTTATTATGTATTAAAGCTTGCCTGAGGGTACAGAAAGCAAAGTTAGCCACAAGCTATAGAGTTCAGGCAGTGGTGATACACACCTTTAATCCCAGCAGCCATTCTAACTAGCCATAGAGCTAGACGGTGGTGGCACACACCCTTAATCCCAGGATTCAAGAGATAAACAGATGGCTCTCTGTTAATTTAAGGCCACACTGAGCTACATGAAATTGATCCAGTCTAAAAGAGAAACAGCTCATACAAAGGTGATCTCAGCACTTGGGATCACAAA